CCCCCCTCCCCCCTTTCAAAAAAATAAATAAAAAAATATCGTAATCTGCTAATATTGTATTGAATATGGCAATTTATCATATTCATTAATTAAATACATAAACACCCTGACACTTTAACTATAAAATATACATACTCCAAGTCAGGAACCGTTACATTAGTGCATTTCACAATTAATTTATGTTTTTTATCAAAAAAACAGTCCAATTTTTTTTCCGCATCGCTCCGCTCGGCGACAGATTGGATTCTACGCCCCCTCTTTCAAATATCCCAGAAACGCTCCTGATCATGGTCACGCTTTGAGGTAGGACAGCTCCTCAGATGCGGCCAGGCTGTCATAGCGGCTGTGGTCCACGGAATGACGTCCTTAGTGTAGTCCGCGCTGTCCTGCTATTTGTCAGGTAGAGAACAATTGGATTTAAGTACAGGTACACTATAGTCTGTACTGTAAAGTATTTTACCATATGAATATATGAACGTATATGACCTTAGCTGTTAATAGGACGTTAAACAAAATCAAACAAACAAACAAACAAACAAACATAGGGATGATTTTTGGTGTTAAATTTTATCTATTTATGATATTGATTCCACTTCATATCATTAATTTTTGAAACCCATATTAATTAAGGCCTTTGAACCTTGCAAAAAAAGGGGACGAAGGCTGATCGAAATAGGTCACAATAGGACATTCCTTTGAAACGAATATTCAAAGTGAAATAATTTTCACATTAATCAACCTGGAGCATCAGTATATTCAGAATGAAATTCCCTACGTAAAGCCGACGACGACATAATATACTGTGATCAGTGGGATAGTCCTTTGAAATTTAAGACAGTATATTTTTCTCATAAATCGTCCTTGAGGATCAAGATTTTCAGAAGGTATAACAATCCCCTGTAGTCGGCTATATCTTGTAAAGATTAACATCGCTTCCCTGAAGAATATATACAATATATACAGTGAATTAGGAAGGTTTTATGAAACGTGAGATGATGGGCGGTACGACAAGAGCTTATCAGATTCCAGGCCCCGCCATTCAAATTCAAATATGACATTGACACTAGATAACCTACTTGAAAGCTGTGTCATTGACGGGGCTTTAAATGCGATGCACTGCGAGACTCAATTCTTAGCCAGTGCCAGTGAGACTACACTATTGATTCATAAAGACTCACGAAGCGTGACAGGTCACGCTGCATCTGGTTTTGTGTGAACTATACGTACGAGACTGTAACACTTATATGAAATGGTTTGTTCATGGATGTGCTAACTATGGTTCTTAAAATCAGTAACACGAGATGTGTAGCGCTAGTCTTAACTAGTCTTTTGGAAATATTCCTTTTTGGAGGAATACCCTTTGGATGGTTTGCACTCATTTTTATCCTAAAACAAGAAGGAGTGTTCAAAAATCTCTGTGTTTTAGAATCCCACGGAAATTCAACTGGTGTGAATGTGACTTCAAAACTGGACTGTTTCCCCCAGGATGAACGTTTAAATTTAATCTTCAGTATTGGAGTTGCGATGTTTACATTGGGGACGGTAATCTGTGGCCAGTTGTACTTGTCATTTGGTATAAAACGTATCCGTATGTTCTATATGTAAGTATATTGCTCAAAAAAGTATTGGATATTGTTGTGAAACTGGGATTTGTTGACATTCGTTATAATAATAGTAATTCTTTATATAGCTTGCTAAAATCGTATTTATCATTACTAGTGTATCCCTATGTCAATGTGATATCAACAATACCTTTATAATCGTTAAGAGAGTCAGTTTTTATGTTTTCACAAAGTCGGACGTCAAACTTTCCCGCAATCTATTGACAGTTTATGTCGTTGTATTCGTGACGTAACTTCCGGGTTATTTCGTCAGCTATTAATAGTATCATACGTTAAAGATAACGGAGTCTTTGTAATTCGTATGAATTTGTCCATAAGAAAGAAATACATATGTAATTGTAAAATTATACTTCAAGAATGTTCTGTTGTTTTGCGTTACCATTGTGGCATGCGCTATTCGATATAAAAGCGGATTGCGGTCTGTTTTGAATGAGTCGAGCTGGTAGAGATCCTGAGTGTACCAAGCGAGGTAACTCTTGTGAAAGGTAGGGCATTTTTATAGGAACTTAAATTATACTCTATCTAGTTTAATGGAGTATTTATATATTTCCAATTCATATTTATAACCTTCGGTGAACCGTGAAGTCGGGCTCGGAGGAAAATAAGTTACACATACTAATTTAAGGGGTATTTGAATACATTTCGATAACTTGTGTGAGCCACGTAATGCGGAGTCACAAGAAAGTAATTGTGTTTAAGGTTTAGATAACTCTATATGTTATAACCTGTGTTGAACCGTGAAGTCGGTCTCACGGGAAACTAAAGAAACTTGTAAGGCATAGATAAATCTATCAATCATAACCTGTGGTGAGTCGTGAATTCGAACTCACAGGAAAACAATGTACATGTAAGGCTTATTTTAACTAACCGTTAAGCTCCCCGAGCGTATATTTCTTGATTGATAAGTAATTCCTAGTGTTTATGATAGCTATATTGTTCAAGTAGGATTTTTCATGATAGCATAGTACGACTCGACTCATATGCTTTGGTGACGGGATTATGTAAATGTATTTTGTATACGAATATGTAAATTGTATGTAATGGAATTCTGTATACTGATATGTATATGGTAGTAACTGAATAAACACCATCCTCGTACTTGATATCAACGTATCGAACTCTTAATTTCTGGTACCGAATAACGGCTTTCCATACAAGAAGGCACAATTTTATTACACTGGTGGCAGCGGTGGGATATCCTTTGGATAGAGTTGGCATCGACGTGATCGGACCACTCCCTCGGACAAAGAATCAGAATCAATATATCCTGGTAATTGGAGATCATTTCACAAGATGGATGGAAGCGTATCCTCTTCCTAACCAATCAGCTGAAAAAGTCGTGGTAAAAGAATTCATAGCCAGATTCGGGATTCCTTTAGAAATTCATTCGGACCAAGGAACCAATTTTTAAAGTCAGATCTTTCAGGAAGTGTGCAAACTCCTTCAAATTACAAAGACCAGGACAACCCCCTATCATCCTGAATCAAACGGATTGATCGAACGGTTTAATAAAACGTTGGGAACTATGATCAAATGCTTCCTGAAAGAGAATCCTAAGGAATGGGACCGTCACTTGGAAATACTTATGGCAGCATATAGAAGTACAAAGCATTCTGCAACTGGATTCAGCCCCAACGTTATGATGTTTGGACGTGAAGTGAATACACCAATAAACATTTTGTTTCCGACAGAGGGATCAACGGAATTCACATCTACCGAATACGTGGGAAGATTACGCGAGGCCTTGGAGTAATATCTTACTTTGTACGCACGTGTTGGCATGTTACAGAAATAGTTTTTTCAAGAATATCTTCGATGAACATGACATATTTAGATATGACATACGTAGTTTACTGATGTCCACTTGGTATTTTTGTGTTAATCTTCAGATCAGTTGCTGTCCCTGGGATTTTATTCTTCGCTTTCACATCGACAGGTAATTGTAATAATTTTTCTTTCTTGTTTTTGTGAGGTTTGATGATATCACATTTGGAACTATTTAATAAGCCATCACAGTAAATTGAAAATTAATTTTACAAGTACTGCGTGCATATATCAAGTGTTCCACCTCGAATGGCAGTCGAATTTCAATGAAGTATAAACATAAAGATACTTTATCAAAGATGTAAAACGGAAACCATAATATTAGGGGAAAAGATAAGAGATGACAACAATTTGAAGAAGAAATAACTTGTCAAACTGATGAGGATGCTGAATAATCTCTCCTGACCGGCTTGTAAGTGAGATTAATCTGACATTGTAATCTTGATAAACGTAATCGGGTATAGGGATCTGTTCAGATCCCCTGAGGAATGGATATCTTACTGGTTAGCCTAGTTATCGAGGAGGCCCCTGCATGGTTGATATTAGTGGTGTACGTCCCTACGAGGACGTCGCGTTGCGTGAATATAGCACCATGCATACGTTTTCGTTTTAAGAAAGATTGATTTTTTTCCATTTGTACAATATCTATTTACATATGCAATATATTAATGTTTGATTTTGATGTAAACAAATAAAGAGAATATCAAAGTGTCAAGAAAACCTTAAATCTTTAGCTTCATCGAAGACACATCGAATGTAAATCTAGGTCAAGTCCAAACAATGTCAGGTCCTCATTTCGAGAACCGGGGTAGCGACAATAGAACATCAAGGTACACTAGCGAGCTTAGTCAAACGCACAGGCTTTCATATCACACACAAATGGTGGCAACTATGACCCTCGCCCAGAGTCTTTATCAACCTGGAAACCCTGTGTTGTAAGTTTGTCCGTCAGCAGTCGACAAAATTAATTTAGAGTATTTGTGTGCATTTTAGTAAGCTACCGTATCCGCTTATTTTTTTTAAATAAATCTCAAATTTTCGTAGGAGATAATGCTAAAATATATTTGTACACCTATATCATAGGAAACTAGTATACTTTATACATCATATATGAACCGTTTACAATAAACCTTTTGCCAAATTTTGTTTTACTTTAACAGGAAACAATTTTTATTTTTATTAAGGATAAGTGGCACTGTGAATTTTTTGGTATACATAGTAGCCTTCTCTTCGTTGTAGTGCGTTTTGGCTAACGTACTTCAAGGTAACTCAGTCTGTTAGAGTGAAAGTATAACAATATGATGTCTAGGATTCGAACCCCGGTCACAATCATAACACTGTTGTTGATAATATCCTGTTTATTTTACTTTTCCAAAAAAAATCTTATAAGTCCCACAAAGAATTATTTCTTTCAAAAAATATTTTAAAAAGTTATAGTCCTACCGGAAAATCCAATGCACAGTTAGAGTGTTTGGTAGTGGTATGGGTGTCTGTAAGTTGTGTAATAACAGCATGCTATCTACATAGAGCCTGCGTATATCTATGTAAATACCCCTGTCATAAAATTCTTCAACTCGAATCAATGCCTTGATTGTTTTCATATTTGAACTTATATTTATCCTAACTTACTGTGGTCTATGTCATAAACCCCACTCCGAAGCAGCTGAGCCAGCTATAGCAGAAGCTTTTAGCCATAAATGTATTTAATACTTTTACGGAGAGAAATGATTTATAGATAACCAGCTGTTCATTACCTTAATCAATAATAACATTTATACAAACATGTCCGTGTTGGTCATAATTAGGTTGATAAAAGCATACATTTTTCAATTAGATTTTTATGATATAATATATATGCTAATGTTTGGAGGCCTATGTTCATATATGATACATATACCAGCATTTAGTTATAGTTAATACATTTGCTAATGTGTACTACACATTTTGTTATTAAATCGACACGGTGCGTATTTCAGGATTAGTGTATTATCTGACACACAACTCCAAAAGAGGTTAACATAACGCATCCTCTCAAGGCAAAAGGGCACATCATTTCAGTGTGTTCACATGTACCAAAATGATATCTGTCAGAATTATTCTGTTTTTGGTCCATCAAGTTTATCTTCAGGTATCTTTTAAATACGTGTTCTTAAATTCCAATCTCTATTGGGAAGATTTCAACCCGAAAGGAAAATCACAATGAAAACAAATAAACAATGTTCTGGTTTAAACATGGAATACAAGGGGTGTTTTTTTCCCCTTCTGGACTTTCTGATCCGGTATGTGCCTCTATATGAACTACTGAATACAGTTTTGCATTCGCGCAGTGTCCGGTTTTGCGTTTTCGTTAAAGACTTATTATTCGCACAGTGTAAGACATCGCGGACAACAGGTCTGTCCCTGTCTGGTTGTTTTTTTTACACTTCTACCGTTATCACACGACTCTTGTCCAACACACCTGTATTATCTGCTGGTCTAAGGTTGGCTGATAAATGCACATTTTCCCCCTTATAAAAGAAATGTGATTTTGTATCGCCCTGGATCTTAACTTTTATATTTATTTCTATTCCTAAAATAATCATAGGCTAAAATACATCAAATATGTTTGACATATATTTCGGCGGTTAAGATGAACACTAGACTGGACCTGAACTCGATTGCATACGAAACAACTTGAGACAATTTGTACATGTGTTCAGCTAATATATTATCAGGGCGATATGTTTCTTCACAACGTCAATGGACATGTACAATGGACTTGCTGAGAAATTTACTAATTAGTCTAATAGACTTTATAATACAATATATATGATGAAAAAGATTAAATGTCCATGTAAAGTACGTAAATACAGAAAAATATGAGCTTACGACCGACTCCAAAAATGCAGCTTTCACTCTTCATGGGGAAAAGAAAACTGCTAGTTTTGTAGTCGGTTTATTTATATATATATATATATATATATATATATATTTAAATATATCCCAATTAGTATTGGTCAAAGAAGTAACATCAACGGTAATTCCCATGTAACACTGGATCCTTGCAAACGTACGTTTGTAGGTAACGAATTACTTTGAATTTGTATATGGAACAAGGAGTTATAATTCAAAGAGTGTAGACAATATGATGTTGTAAAATGTTCGGAGCAATCCGCTCCTTTATTGCGACAAAGAAAAATACACAACACGTACATTACATAAAGAAATATAAATATAATTGGTAGATATATCTACGTAAAGACACAATCTTTCTAAAGGTAAAATATATGGAGGGATTTTCAACGGATGGATACTTCGCTGAATATTTGATCTCTCCAATAATAAGAGAACAGATGAAATATTGTAGAAGATAACAAAGTATTATTTATATTTCTGACAGAGAATCCGTGGCTACCATTGCCCGGACTCATACTTGTGGGCGTGGCTGGTCTGTCGTTACTGGTATCTGATTTTATACAGGTACTCATTGCTTTACCTAGCTTTTGAATACATGTCCTGATAATTATTCCTGATTCAAAATGAATTTCAGATATCGACTTAGGTTAATAGTCTGATGAATGGTAAACGAGTTTTCATCTACTGTTTTGAATTATAACTGATATTTATCATAATGCAAATAATAATAATAATAATTATTATTATTTATCGATTACATTAATAGAAATAGAAAAGATTATTCATTTATTTTCATTTCATGACATGCAGTCGATACAGAAGACCTATTTCCCCCAAAAACTAAAGTTCACGTATTGAACTGAATACATATAGGCCAAAACAGGATAATCTCACTCGCACTGTTATTCTATAAACGTGACCATCACTTTACGCAGCATCACCAGGGTCGCGTCATGAATTTTGTGACGATGGCGACGCGCTTTGGGTTGCATCCTATTTCTATGTTAGGAAAATGTGAAACAGAAAGAAATAATCATTCGTTCCTGTTTGATAAAGACAGAATAATCTTATCGCAAGAGTTCAGATTTATCCGTCAGCATCACACAGGGACGATTCGTTATTTCTGCATGACATATGTGACAACATTGATGATGTGGCCCTTGTTACGCTGCATAAAGTGATGACGCGATGGTCAGGTTTTTAAAACAATAGTACGTGTGAGGTGTCTTTCTTTTGGTAGGTACATTCAAGTTAATATTTATCCTAGAAAATGGGAATTCACAAGTTAACTGTAGAAGAAATATTTGATTATGATTGATAGTGATGATTTTGATGACATCTTACCTAATATGGCTTCACCGCTATATAGTGATTACATTATATACCTGATATTTACCTATTTACCAGATACCGTTGTTACTGCCGAGGGGTTCTTCCATTTACGTTGGGTTATTGAATGGCTGTTACGACTCGTCCGTGCTGACGTTTATGTTAGTAAAGGTATGTATAAATATTCTTGGAGTCAGGTACGTGTCCTAGGGAGGTGTTTGTAATGAAATGCGTTTTCCTGTTTAAGAATAAAAATGTGTATGTTATTGACTATGTCAAATCAAATTGCTTCGATCTGGAAACAATCTTCAAAATGCTCCGTAAATAGCATATCTAGTATTTATTTACAACACAATGTGTTCATAGTAGAAAGGTATAGCGCTGTGTTTGATCTAAAAACTTAGCGCTGTGTTTGATCTAAAACGAGTTCCATTTGTCTGGCTTGAAATTGAATGCCTTTAATATTTATAATAATGTAAATATATATTTACGAAAACAAAAAATCTATATACGAGTTCCTTATTCAGGATATAACATCTCCTACGTCATTGGAATTCGACCCCAAACATCTTGATATTATAAGCAATGAGATTATCAACAGCGTTACCAGTTATGCTAGTTTTATGTTAATACAGTTCGGCACCATTACTTTGGATAATTTCGAAATGTTCTAACTCACCTAAACTGTCCACAATCCTGAATTGTCTATCTACACATACAGCAGTAATACCATAAAAGAAGCAAGGTCTGCATTCAGCGCAAAGGTGAAGGAACTATCTTCCCTATTGAGAAAATCAGTATTTATGGATGAAATTACACAAAACAGTTTATTTCATGCAAAATACATAAAAAGAGCGAAATCTTGCTTCAATGACAAGCCGGGTCACCTTAGGCAAAGAGAAGATGAATTCCGTTTCACTTAAAATATGTCTGATTATGCAGGGCCTCTGAAAGGATATCTACAACTGGTTCGATCTCCAAAAATCGTTCATCATGTATTTCAATTTATAATAAATAATAAATGAACTTGCCAACACTATAGTATCTTGCAAACTTTCTGTGAAATCTCACGTTTCAACAAAAGTAACAGATGTCAAAACAGACTCTTTAAGGTGAAATGCACTAAGAACCACTGTAACAAGATTGGAATCAGTGCATAATTACTGAAACACATTAGTGTTGGTTTGGTTTAGAGTGTTAGCGCGTCCGATAAATAGCTAATGGTATTAAATGACTTGCCCCCATGTGTGTAATGTATGCGTGCGGGAGCCCTACTGGACAACAGCATGACTATGTTGGTGAATTCGTTAGAATATGTGTTATAACGAGGAGGAGGTTGAACCTGTTTGTGCGTTGTAAAAGACACTTAAACCTATTTTTATTATTATTTTTTTATTATAATATATGTTGAAAGTCCTTCTTTAGTAAATGTGCAGATTTGGATTTGGTCACCTCTTGGTAAAATTGATTGAAATTACGCCGAATTAAGCTGGCTACCTCCCCCCTACATCTAAATCACACCGCTATGTTCTTTTCGTTTTAAGAAATTATACGAAGATGGAGTCGATAAGAAGTTCTCCTTCATTGGTATCGCCGTTTTGTTTATCGTGGTTTCCGGTGTGTGTACACTTCTGCATCCGTCACGGGAACAAAACGACAAATCACATGAGGAGAGTCCTCAAACAAATGATGACATCGTACAAACGAAAGAAGTGAAAGGTAATGAGGTTTTGTTAATTAATTAGTATTCTCGACATTCCAGGGGCTACGCTTTCTCAATAACGTTACTGCGCCTCATGGATATATCATGACGAAACGGAAGGCTCTGTAGCGTCACCTTGTGGATGATAAAGGGAAACTACTCTGAGCCTTTTTTGATGTACAATAAAAGAATCGCAACACAGCGTTACGGTAAATCGACAGACTTTAAAGATAAGGACAGAGATCGGCTCAGAAATTGGTTAGTTTGTTTTTACCTGAAACTAATCAAACAGCTAACCGCGTGATTTCGACATATACCAGGGGTACAAACAATGTAACAACTTGAATTTCGAGGATATTTATATGGGGACTAAAGCAAAACTTTTTTGTTTTTTAAATACTTTCATTCTCCGGATTCGATCGGGTTTTAGATACGCATAGCATGTGATAGGGGCGATGTGTACTTCCAGTAAATAGCACATACCTGACAACTACACAAAACAATATGCAACAGCATTTGTGCTCATTTCTCCAGTGCATGTCTAAGGAAAGGGTACTGGTAAGATGATATCCCTATTATAAAGGATGTGAAAATGTTGCCTTTATTTTCTAAACCTTTAATTCCGTTACGTTGGCTTGATTTTGGTTAACCTTTACAACAGAATCATGCAAAACCCTCTAATTTACAACATGACCGCCAAATCACGTGACTTTCGTTCTATGCCAGAAATTTGTATCTTGGAAACGTCATATTCTGCAACAATTTACGATTACCTTGTATATCTTTTTGTCAATCAAACCCGTGGTGTTAATGCATTTTGATATAAATATGATAGCATAAAATGAAATGTATCTGCAGCTTTTTAACATAGATATGTCTATATTTGGTTGTAGGTACTCAAAATGCTGTTCAGACAACTACCGGTGTTACGACCGACACCCCACCTATTGGAAAAATACTTCGAAACTATCTCTTCATTTCTCATGTTGTTTGGCTCACCAACGTTCTGTTGAAATACGTATTTTTCTTAGGATCAGCAAATAGATTGATGGAACAACTCCTACAGGATGAAGATAGAGGTATATATTTTATATTACAATTTACTCATTTTAACATTTAATGACATAGTAACCAGCGTGTACGAGTATGCTTTTCCTTAAACTGTAATCAAAGAAAATACTGGGCTTGTGTTTCACCCTACACCGGTAGCAGTGAATTAGTTACACCGGTTAACCTCCTTCTACATCTTCTTGGTTTTTGTTGTTGTTTTTAGTTATTTACTTTTTACGTTGATATATAGGTGTGTGTATAATCATGTGACATACGAGATGATCACGTGGTAGAGCGAGATATGAAGTGGGGTGGGGAAGGATTTGCTGGGGCAGTGGTATATTGACCATAAAGCCTTGTTTACTTCTTAAGAAAGAGTGATCAAAGACCTTCTCCGTTCTTAATGTTGATAGGTTGGTGCTCTATATGATACAGAGTGGTAAGTTACTGTAAAAATTGAAATTCTGGCGTGTGGAAATGATCCCGTTGTGACTTTTTAAAGTGATAACGTTGTATATTTAATTACACTGGCAATAGTTCTGATATCTATATAGTATATGTATCTATATAATGTATCAACACAGTCGCGTGTGGATATTGTCCCGCTAACTCACACCACCGACAATTTCCTCTTTTTAAGTCAATTTCTGTTTTGGCAAATGATATGAATATATTTCTAACGACCATTTCTATTGCAGTGAGCTACTTCTCTGACGTCATGACATTTACGATGATTGTCAGTCTGGTATCGTCTTTCATCGCCGGTTACACGATACACGCGGTGGAAAATAGATTCACAGGTAACAGGTTGAGGCTATTCGACAAAAAATGATTAACGATCATAAAACGCTTATGCTGAAAAATGATATTTTCTTATAACTTAAAGTTAAATTATAAAAAAAGAGTTATATGATTTAGAGACCCGAAGAAATGTGTAACCTTCATTCATCCTTAATAATTGCAGTCAATTCCTAATATTATTATCACAATCAATCCGCTCTGCTGTAAACGGGTTAATCTTTATTCAAGTGAACCCCATATTATGTCTTTTACACAATCGTTGTGTTATCTTGTATGGTTTAATGCTGTCGGATCTCGGATGTATGTGCCAAAAGTAAAATTACATAATGTAGATAAATAATAGTTATGTAAGTTTGTTTATAAGTGACAAACATATTATTCAGTAAATATGATTCCTGTGTTCATTTCTCACTTTTTTCATACTGGTAAAGGCAGGCGTGTTATCATTTCTGTTCCATTATAACTGCTTATATATGTGTTTGTTTGTTTGTTTGTTTGTTTGGGGTTTGATGTCCTTACAACAGCCAGGGTCATATGTGGGCGTGTGCCTAGGTAGACACCCTTGCACAATTGGAGTTTTCTTCTCCGTTTTCTCTTTGGAGATAACATTAATCTGTTAGAGGCACGGTAGTCTAGTGGTAAGACGACAGGCTCGTGACCGAAGGGTTGCAGGTTCGAGTCACGTCATGGCATTGTTTTGCATCCTTAAACTCGTGACCGAAGGGTTGCAGGTTCGCGCCACGTCACGGCAATGTGCTGTATCCTTGAGCAAGATACCTAACTCTGCTTGTTCCAGTCTACTCAGCTGTAAATGAGTACGTGGTTGGGCAGTGCTAGATTTGAATGTCATCCGTGAGCGCCGAAATGGCAGCACCGGCTGTATCCTCCCCAGGGAGTTGAGAAAGATATTTGCTGGTTGCAAAGGCCCTATAACCACGGATAATAATTTGTGAACCGCTTTGAGAGAACCTACACACTAGGTTATGATAAAGCGGTATAAAAGAACCTCGAATAAGTATTACTATTATTATTTATCTGCTGGGTCATCGCAACGCTTTAAATCGGTATTTTTCTCACTTCCCGCCTTTCTCTTCCGGGCGGTGTCTCTCTTGACATCTGCCTTCATATGACGCTGGTTGTTGTACGGAGTAAAACCCAAAACAAACAAACATACTTAAGAAAACAACTAAAATAATTTAACAATTCTTCAGTATTATATACTGTAATAAGGATTGCTGAATGTGTGAAGAGTTTGCTAACATTGATGATACTGGTTTTTGTATTGACCTCCCGTACAGGAAATTTGAAGGCAGTGATTCCCCTGACAGTGACGTCATGTTTGGTCATTTTGTTGTCTGCCCTAGCATTTGTACACACACCAAATGTCCTGTACGCCGACTTCATTGTGTTGACATTTCTCCGATCTTTCATGTACACAACAAACATGGAGTTCATCAGAATCGCGTAAGTGTTTTCATATAATGTATTAAAATGATTTCCTCCCTACAGCAAAATTATGGAGTAGTATTACTCTGCCTCCGGGAAACAGATGACTAAACAAAAGACACATTACTTCTCGACATTGTATTAAAGCACACTGATGGTTTACATGCTTTTATTTGGGGATTTTAAAACTGATAGCCAAACCAATCAAATCAAAGTAAATAAAGAGGTAACAAGTACCTCGAAACTGAAATCCGAAGGTTTTTCAAGGGAGCTCAGACAGGGGTAGGATTCCTGTGCAATTAGTGCAAAGCAGACATGAATATATTTTACAGTACTGTATTATTTATTGTAGTGAATATCTTGTAGCTACCAATTAGTATTGATAATTGTTGATGGTGTTCTATTGGATAAATTAGATAAAAAACAAATTAAAAAACCCAAGATAAAATAAAAAATAAAAAACCAAGACGAAATCGGAAACACATTCGACTCAATGGAAAATCACTCCCGTAGGAAAACCAGGTCACACAGGAAATAATTAAAAACTCACTTCTTCTATTTTCTAGATTCCCTATGAGGTACATGAGCGTTATATTCGGAATTGTTATCTCCGTTTCTGGAATTCTGACTATGACGCAATACGGCTTGTTCGCTTGGACGGAGAAGTATGACGGGGCTATGACGCATGTGAGTCCACGCTTGTGTATAATTACGAACAAACATCGTGTTTCTAGCCACGGCGTCATTTTTCCACAGTTCGACTTGAATGCTCAAGCACAAAAACTGCAACACATCACCCCAAGCCCATTTATATACTCCAGGAGAGTTGACTCGGTAGGGAAAAAACTCTTTCCTTTGCATTACCTTGTTATGCTGACTTCGGGAATAGAACCTCGGTCTTCTGCATGGAATTCCGGGGTTTATGCTGCCGTGCTTGTATAGGCCATTTATCTTTTACTATCTTTTCCTATATCATATATCTATATATCTATTCCTTATATGACCCTTAATGCCATTATTGTTACTTTGAGGTATGTTCCTACATATTAACACACAACTTTAATATTGATATTTAACCTCACATGTTCAGATATACATTTAATCTATATATATTAGAAAAGGCAAACGATCCATTCATTATTTTTGTTGTTGATTGCAGTAGAAATAAGTAGCAGGGTGTCGAATCGAAACATTGCTATTCGAACATACTCAAAATGAATAAATACTAACTATGATAATATCGTTATAGAAGAAAGGGCAGTGCTTTCGTGACCATTTTCACATATTTGACATAGTTTCCAAACATTTGATTTACCATTGACTTTCTTTTATCCAACAGGTGAACGTGTTTCTGCTATGCCTGTCAACCATCTCCCTGTTTCATCCCATGCTCGTCTTTTACAGTCATAGAAGACAACAGTCATAAGGTCATCGAAAAAGACAATGGAAAGTGATAAGCAAAGACTCTATATTTCGTTGTTATGCAAATTATATTTATGGTCATGCCTCGCCAACAATTTTTTCTATGTACATGATTTGAAATAGTATAGATATCGATTAGTGTATGATCTCATTACTTCTGTATGCTGATCACATTGCACTCATTTGCCCCAATGAAAAATCTATGCAACGGATTCTAGATGTTTGAAATAAATGATGAACAAGTAAAAGATCGAAGTTAATCAAGACAAAACTAACATAGTCGATTTTGGAAATAATTCCACCCCTATTACTGATTATAAATTTTCATGTGGTGATATAGCTGTCGCATTAGAAAGCAAATATAAGTACCCAGGACTTCAGTTGTAGTTTGGTTTTAGGAGCATTTAGATTTGCATTTTGCTGACAGAGAACTCTGTAAATCTGCTTGTAGAGCACTTTCAACGTTATATGTAAAATATTCACATACAAGTGATCTGTCATAGGAAGTGTTTAATAAGTTATATAAAACTTTAATTGAGCCGGTACTTTTTTACGGATGTGGATTTTAAATAAAAAAATAAATACCAAGAGGTTTCTGTAATACTACACAAGGCAAGTCGATACTTTCTAGGAGCCTCCCGTCGAGCAAGTCACTTAGCACTCAGAGGTGATATGGGATGGCACTCTTAATTGCAATGTAAGTCAAAGTTTTAGAAACGATACGTTTATTTTTAAGAATTAAGTATTGTGATGATAACAGACTCATGAAAAGGCGCATCTTTGGTATGTAAGTCTGAAAAAATCTTGGGATTCTAGAAATTTGAAAATGATTGGTGACAAAATTTTAATGAAATTGTAAACTCACCGTTTTCTATTAAACACAAGATTAGAAGAGTGAAAGAAAAGCTTCTTATTTCAGATGCTGATAAATGGTAGAAGTCTATATGGAATGATAGTAGTCTTACAGAACTTTTAAATCAAAGTTAATACCATATTCATATGTCAAGCTCGTTAGACAAAAGGGCAAACGAAGAGTACTTTTTAATTTAAGATGTGAATCTCTACCTCTAACAGTGGAAACTGGCAGATACGCCAAACCTGTGATTCCACTAGAGGCACGCTTATGTAAGATATGTACAAATGTAAATAATTGTATGGAGGATGAATAACACTTTTTTTAGTGGAATGTAATGTATACAATGACATCAGATCATCCATTTATAATGTAGCAAATAATGTAAGAAATGATTTTGCAAGTCTTAATAACACAGACAAATTTAATTTTATAATGTCTTCCGATGAATTACAAATTCCACTTGCAAACCAATTGTATAATAAGTACAGAAGACGTAGCAGTCTATGTGATTAGTTATAATTTTAAACAGTGTCTTGTAAACTATTTTAGGCGGAATATCACATCCAATTACATTTTCTATTTCATGCATTTGTTAAATATGATAACAGGGTCAATCAGAATGTTTTTTTATACGAAAATAATTTTCCGTTTAAATTATAATTAGCTACTAGATAGTGTGAATTTAGCAGACCTCGCTGGTTGGGGGCTCCCCAACCATTGGAAACCTTAATTGCACTACAATGTAGAACTAGGTAATTATATCTATATCATATTTATGTAATTATTTATTTTATTTATCACAATTGTTATTATTTTTTAAGACATCATTTTTTAACGCAGAAACCTATTAATTATTATAGTATATAATATGTAAGTACACAATCCAGAGAGCTTATTAGGAAGGGGCTGTCCCAATCACCTGCTCTCTCGATTGGAAACTGTGATAGTTTGTTTTTATTTATAAATATATTACGTATTATAACTGTTCTTAACAGAATTATGATATTGTCTATATATTTTTACATTTAGATGATTGATCCCTGCTATGTAACTATATGTTTTTATACTGTGTAACTATATACTTGTAAGATGCAATTGTGATATATGACAATATAATAAACAAGCTTGACCTGACTTGACTTGACTTGACTATGTGGCGCAATTATGATCATGTTTTTTTATGCTGCAATTAATTATCACGCATAAGCTATAAGAATATATATATTTGGCATAAACGAATATGGAAAGCAGGAGGCAGAGAGGGAGAGTGGAAGGAAGGAAGGAAGGGGGAATAAAGGAATGACAGAGGGAAACAAGGACACACATATTGAGAAAAAAGATTAAGAGGAATAGTAGGAAGGAAAAAAGATAACACTGAGGGAAGCAAGCAGGGATGGAGGAAGGTGAAAGGTTAAGAAGGAAGAAAGGAAGAAAGGAAGAAAGGCAGTGTTATGGAACAATTCTTAATTACAATAATGAGGTAAAATATGAATAACAAATTCTACGAATAATTCATATAACGGTAGACATGTCAGGGTCCAGAAAATACATTTAGGCTATATGGAATAGGCGATTTTGGAAGGAAATATGTTATGAAATTTTTAACGTACAACATGAAGCCACACATCGTATGATAGCATTGTCTTATCTACGTGCCCTACTATCAATAATGACCTATATCTGGAGCGATCCGCGCAGTCATGGCTATCGTTCAGACAGTACTGTATTTGTTCTTCATCCCGTCCCTACTCCTCCGACACCAGACATGCGCAGACAAGCGGATCCTCCTATCCGACCCGAACTACGTCCTTCACATCGAGTCCAGTTTTGCCGAACTGAGGGCTAAAGTGTATGCTCTCCAGAATGAACTCGATACGCGACAAGATACTCTGGACAACCTAGAACCAACACTTCCCCTTACAGGTAACTTTATGTGACGTCATGTTTGTTTTGTATCAAAGTGAGGTCATCTGTCCGTTTTCTATTACATTGAAACCTGCCTTTACTGACAACCGACTTTAAGGACACTCTGTTTTATCCGACATAATGTTATGGTTCCAAAAACAGCTTTAACATGTATCTCACAAGAACGACAAACTCTTGTATTCGAAGACATACTTATTTCGCTGATATACAGTCGACTAAAATTCTTTATTGAGCTTCTATTTGGTGGACATAAAGGTATAATATTATTTGTGATTTCTCCTTTTATGTAAACATATAATATATAGCTATCTTTAGGATTTGCGACTGTTTATATACTATTGAGTGAACGAAATATGAAAGAGAACGTCCAGGAATATTTTTTTTAACATGTTTAACACTTTTTGATTTTATCACATTATATTTGTAGCGTCCGGAGCCACCTACGTCAGATGGGGACGAACAACGTGTCCCGGGAATGGAACGACATTGGTGTACCAGGGTTAGTCTCTCATTTTGATATATGTAATCCAAGTCTTTTGTGTTATTGTCGCATCTGCCGTGGCTAGTGGCGGTGTGGCGGTATCCTAAATTTAAATACAAGAATGTACTACATAAATTATAACTTATAGTGAATTCTTGCTTGCATATTAAATTATATTTACTACAAAAACCTTAATACAGTCGCTTTATCACATCCGTATCACAAAGTAACATGTTGAATTTATAAAATAGGGATATTCTACACGAATAAAAATTAAAAAATTAAAATATGTCTTAGGATATTGTCCATTAATATGTTTTAAGATTAAAACGTACGGACGAAAAGGTCGAAATATGTTTGTTGCGCATATGATTTGTCTGATGAGGGTTCTTTTGAATCAAAGAGCAGGTTTTTTTCTAAACTTTACGACTATGGTAATTAAAACTGACATTAACGTCTCTTTCAACCACCAAATCTATTTTTATCTAACTAGATCTGGTACAGTAACGATGTATGTTTCACCACCAGGTGTCGCTGCTGGGGCTCTCTACACAGATACGGGCGGGGCAGTGGAATATGTCTGCATGCCATACAATCCAAAGTTTGAATTCACAGACTACACGGACAACGAGGCGCATCTGTACGGCGCCTTGTACGAGTCAAAAGTGTTCAGCGCTACCAACTCTGGGGACCGGGCGCCATGCGCCGTCTGTCATGCCACCATCCGAGCGTCCCAACTCATGTTGCCAGGAGTTAGCGCATGTCCTTCCGGTTGGACCATGGAATATCATGGTATCTTATCATCCGGGTACCGCGGCCACAAGGCCGGAAGTCAGTACATATGTCTTGACGCGGCTGCTGAATCTCTGGCGCCGTTCAGTAGAAACGCTGTCGGTAAATTACTATACAGGGTTCGCGGGAAGTGCAGTTCTCTCCCGTGTCCGCCGTATTCAGATGGACGATTATTGTCGTGCATTGTGTGTACCAAATAAGGATATTCTTTATGTATAAACATCGATTTTATATATAAACACAGTTATTATTTATTATTTACATTTTGTCAGATATTTGTAGAAATAAACGTACACAACGGCCATGATAGGATCAGCTTCCTCCGTATTCTTCGTTTGCAACAGAAAAAGTGAGCAAAAATGTTGTTTTTCGTTGTTTAAGACGTTTGTGTTATCGAAACAGCTTATTTCGTATCAAGACATTATCGACATGAAGTTGGACCGGAAAATTAAAAAATAATGATAATACTAATAATATTTCATGGACCGAAAGACAAATGCACAGTGTGAGCGGAAACATTTGCCCTCCACGGAAACATAAGAGATTTTATGAAAGCAATATACGTTATTATTGATTATTTCGGTGCCCATGTCAGTAATAGGTATTGCAAAAGTTGTCGACATTGAAAAAGGGGAATTGTTGTACAGATTTTACATTTTTTTCCCAGTAATTTTTGTTAATCAAAAAAAAATAAAGTCTGGAATAGAATTGCAAGCAGTTTATTACGTTTTCAGAATGCAATTTATTCTAGTTAAACAATTTCCCGAGATAAAAGTGTATGCAGAAAAAGATAGGCGTATACAGTACTTGGTCGGTGGTAACATAACTTAAATCCCTGGAGTTCATTTTATATTAAAAAACACGTTATTATCATTTTGTATTGAAAAAAACGTTAATTTTAATTCATATTTGAAAAGTAATCAGAATCACATTCGTCTAAAAACCGAATCAAGTTTTTAACTAACACAATTTACATACAATCACATACATTGAAAAAAACCCCACATAAACAAATTATGCTGCAGAAATAAAGTAAAACGTAGGATTTTATTAACTGGAGGTTCACTGTAACCCTTGCCCATCCTGTTAGATTCATGGTTCCATGGATAGTTTAATGCGCCCGTTTATTTAGTACACAAGCGTATATAATGCAAATCGTCGTTTCCGAGATACAATTTACTGGAACAAAAGACACGTGTTTTGGCAGTCATTTTGTACATTAGGCTGGCATTGGTAGCAGGCTAACTTTGTCGTAGTGTTAAATTTTGTGAATTTGAACGAATTTGGCTGATATATTATATTCTTAACTCATTAAATAGTATCTATAAAGTGATGTAGTCGGGAACTGCGCAACACTTTCTTAGCTTATTGCTGGCACAGCTCTCTGATTAGTTTGGATTACAGGAAGAACACATACTCCCATCACACGTGACATTCGTAACTAAAACTCGGTGGAATTCGAGAGAAAAAAAAAGTGTCACTAAAAAGGATGTTAAAAGATGCCACAGTTTTCCTTGTGTGGCGCGTAAATAAGTTTATGAACTTAAGTAAAACATTTATGGGAATCCATTTTCAAAACGAGAGTTTTTAGAAGAGCATTTTGTCTGTAACGTAGGTCTCTCGATATATATACAGAAGTTGACGATGACGTCATCACTTTATGAGACTATTTCTTTTCTGATTTTTGTATGAACGACCTGCAGCATGATCAGCTTTCGTGCACTGTATTTGTCACCCAGTGCAACAATTGTACCCCGGTCGTGACTCATGGTGACGTAAAACACGTCAATTCCGGTTGCAAATGCGCAGATCTCACTTCCGTCTTCAAGTCGCCAAAGTCTAATTGATCCATCACGGGAACCAGATACCACGATTTCGCCATCTTGTGAGACCGCCGTGCACCAAACCTGGCGATAAAAATGTAAAACAAGCTCATTTATCTATAGAATTCGACGACACCACTTTATCTTCCTTTGATAACGAGAGGTTGTGAGATGGTCTCCATATTTTTGAATAATTAACAACATACTCTTATTTTGACTAAGATAATCGTAAAAAAAAGGTAAGATTTACATGGAAACACTTGACAAAAAGTAAAAGGAAAATAACTAAACTTTAACTATATTTTTTATTAAAGTGATATCTCCCAGGCATCCTTGCGTAACCTGCTGTCAGTATGTGACCAGAATGTGAATATGTTAAATATATGACATTAACTTTAAAGAAGACATCATCAGTGGACTCAGTCTTCGTATGACCTTAAACGATGCGAGAGAAATATTAAGTTGGGTCAGTTTTAAGGAAGATAATAAAGTCTTTACCTCATCTGCGTGTCCGGTCAAAGTCCTGGTCAGTTGTTCCCTGTCCATATTCCATATCTTCAGTGTCTTATCCGCTGAAGCCGAAATCAAGAACTTCTTGTCCACTGAATGCGCCAAATCGGTCACTGCCGAAGCATGTCCATGTGATTCCGAACCCGCCAAAAGATTGCGACGTGTTTGTCCTGTGCGCAAGCTCCACACAACGAGACTTCCGTCTCGTAGACCAGTCACAGCCTCGTCTCGAGGTAACAAAACAGTACATTCCGAGAAAGCGTCCAGTTTTATGATATTCGGGTTTTGTATTACACCAGTTGCCGTCGACATGTCGAACGTAAGAAACTCGATTTGGTTGTCGAATGTGTTTGTGAATCCAGCAACGCAGTACTTGTCATGACTGGAAAGCGACAGGAAGTTGACGTAATCATTGTTGCCGACTGGAGCGTCGTATCTGACCTGCTTCACTATCTGGTTGCCCATCAGGTCCCACAGGGTGATGGTGGTTCCGTTTCCAAACTTGTCGGATTTAGCAAAAACGACGGATTCCTTGTCATCCGTCAAACATATAGCTGAACAGGTATCGGAAGGTCCCATTTCCAACGGTCTCCCCGTCACAAAGTTCCAAACCTGTAATAGAATATAAAAAGTAAATTAAGTTAAAGCAATATGTTAAAATATATATACTTTAGAAAGGAATCTTGCCTTTGTCGATTTCACGGGGTGATGAATTAAGTTGGTCTTGTGACAAGTTTTATGAACTGTGAACATTGAATTTTTATCAAGACCAATTAAATTAAACCCTCTTAGATCGACGAAGAAAATGTTCAATTTTAATATTTCAGTAACACATGTTTTTAACACTATGTATTGTGGAAAGTCTACCATTAAGTGTCATATATATTGGAGCTTGTACAAGTCTAAAAGGGTTGTATCTTGACGTTAAGATATTGTCTGTAACCAAATATTAGTTGTCTGAAAAGATTATTTTCATTGCACAAAAATACACAAACAATTAAATTACTTATGTAAGTATATACATGAATAATAAATATAGTACGTCCAGTTATTGAAACGACCAATAAATAATTGCGGGAAGTATTACAATATGAAAATATTTTCATTTAAGTTTTCGTAACTTCAGAATTTCGAATTCTCCTGTTTCATTTTTTGGTCGAATTGTATTTCGTGACTGTCGCTTACCTGGAGTTTTTTGTGCGTGACACCTTTGCCGATAGAGAACGCATTAACGTCTAGGTCGGCTTGTACGGTCCCCACTAAGAGACTGTCGTAACAGGCCAGGTTGAGACTGGACGATCCAACTGTGTCCCCTTTCATGATTCTCAACAGTTCTCCTGTCTGTACATGTGACAAAAAGTTTAACACGATAGATATATCTGAACAGAACTCAGAATTTCCTACTCCTACTTTTGATAATTTCACTTGCATATACGTATTCAATTTTAAGGTTTAATATGGTTGCTTACTATACTAGGTAATATGATAATATTTATTTTCAGAAAGAAAATATTAGAAAACAATGGAATTAGCTTATTATTACAATCAAATAATATTTATTACAAATGTATAACCATATTTCGTGGAGAGAAAGTTACAATATCACAACTTACTGTTTGCAAGCGTTTATATTTTGCGAATCTATATTTTAGAATGTAATCGACGGGATATTTATTCACGTTTCATTCAGACTATCGGTGTTCTTTTCTCAAAGGATAATTGTTTGCGCAACATTATAACTTCATGGCGATTAACAACGCGAATTTAGGCGAAAATAACCATCAATCGAGAAAAGGTTCACTATTGTATCATAAAACAGAGCAAATACTGTAAAAAAAACTTTCGTCCATCTTGGGGCTCTTCAGGCGATTTGCTATAAATTCTGCGATGACGTCACGGTATTTCATACCTGCATGTTCCAGACTTGAGGAGGACCCGACGAAGACCCTGTGACGACACTTGAGCCATCATCAGTCACGAAGCAGCAGTCGACCCTGACCTCTTCTCCAGCCGCCCCGGGGGTAACAGCCAGCGGCGAGTAAGACATCTGCCCGAACTGACCTCCAACTTCGACCTAAGCATTATAACATTCAGTTGTTTTATTGCTTCATGTTGTATTTAAGGTATTATAATCTGTTTGTTCTTTGCTAAATTTTAATCAGTGAAAATCGCTTAGAACATAAAACATTATATGTTATACTTTTTTAATATTGACTGCAGCTATAACCTTTTCTAGCTCTGTTTAAATACTTTAAACGTATTTATTTTAGCGCACTCAAATTTCAGAGCATTATCGAATTTCAACTTATTAGCGCAACGATGAAATGGCACATCCGAACTATATGCAAAAGAGAACGGTTCGATTTTTCACAATCATGATTTAAAACAATAGTTAATGCGCTAAAATGATATCACTGCTGAAATATATACACCTACAGAATGTGTAACCTTAACATCATCTATGCGCGATCCTGAAAAATCCCTTCAGAAACTTACACAGACACAATTTATATGAAATGATGTTCTAGTATCACACTGACGGACACATTCGACAAGCAGTGGCACGCGGATACATACCAGGTCACATTATGTTGTTTTTTGACCAAATACCTGTTTTTTTATATTTCTTTACATTTCACTGTATAACTACGATTGGTTTTATACGGTATACATACACATGACAACGATATTTTTTATCAAATATTGTTGTCATCTTTTCATATGATTAAATTTTAAATAATATTATCTTATATCGTTTCTGACAATTTTAAGCGCAAACAGATATAAAAGTAAGAATCTTTATACACAAAAGTCATACCTGATTCTTATATGATGTTGACGAGGAAAATCCTTCCTGTTTTAATGTGTTGCTGGTCGTGTAGTTAGAACAGGTCTCATTATATCCCATAGGAAAATCATAATCCGCTGTGGTCGACTCTCCATGAGCTTCCGCGCTGTTACCCAGGAAAGTCCCACCACTGCCACCGATCGTGGTTAAATTTATGTTAGTAGCCGATGCGGAGTGCGAATACGATGACGATCCACCAGCGTCTACCAACGACGTCGATGACTGCATTGTTCCGGAATCAATTAGACAGGTCGTTGATCTCATAGTACTGGAGTCCCAATTCGATTCTTCATTGAAATTAGAAACTTCTTGGTACCTATCATTTACCAGTGTTACACCAGATGTAGAGGAATAGAAAACTTTGGAGCTATTGACGGTGGAATTTTCAATCGACTGGTTCGCAGAGCTAGTTTGTAATGATTGCCCACCTGATGACGCGGCGTTTGAATTACCAGTGGTCGAGTAATAGGCAAAGGCTGAACCCCCTGCATTTTGATTTGCCTCGCTATTTCCAATGGTTACTTTTGCTCCACCACTGGAAGCAGCGCAACCGTTGTCTTCATCACATCCACTGATTGACTTTGCCATAGAGAGACTAGACACCTGTAGTTGACTGGTGTTTCCTGTTACCGCCCCACCGGATATGACGTCACCTGACACTTTAGCACTTGAGCTAGTGCCACCAGTTCCACCTCCCGCACCACTTCCGCCACTGGCTACATTTCCTCCATCGAATCCAAATTTCGCTAGATCCAAATATCCACCATTTCCACAACAGGGTAAAATTCCAGGTTTGCATTGCCATAAAGCCCAAAGCATACTTGCTGCAAAAGCCAATGTTCCTAATATAGTGCCAATCAAAGCGCCTGCCCTGGGTCCTGTCTCGGTCGCTCTCATTGGTATTAGATTGGGCGCAGTAAAAGCTGATGCAACAGCTGGTAAAGATTCCGGAAGAAGTGCGCCCCCGCCGTCCGTACCCGGATTTGTACCATCCCCAATGTTAATTTCCTTACTTCCGCCATAGGACCTTCCCGCCACACCGCCACCTCCGATATCGGGTGAAATGTGTATATAGCCATCATATCTACCACTGAAATAAAAGAATAGTATATTCATATCTGGTGATTTTAAATAAATCTATGAATGTCGCGATTAGAATTCTTTGTTGGTATCATTATCTGCTAACAATAAATTTATAAAATCTCGTAATATCATAGTGCATTTTCACACATTGTTTTTGTCAAATTTATAGTAATTGAAATACCTTTTACCTTGATGTGTCAAGTACATGCTGGTAGTAAGTACGAAAGAACTCATTAATCAGTGACTCCTTCCCTTGATGGTACCAGTACGTAATGGTAGTTAGGGAGTCCTTACCTTGGTGGTACCAGTACGTAAGGGTAATTAAGGACTGCTTACCTTGGTGGTACCAGTACGTAATGGTAGTTAAGGACACTTAACCTCGGTGGAACCAGTACGTAATGGTAGTTAAGGACCCCTTACCTTGGTGGTACCAGTACGTAATGGTAGTTAAGGACCCCTTACCTTGGTGGTACCACAACGTAATGGTAGTTAATGAGTCTTACATTGGTGGCACCAGTACGTAATGGGAGTTAAGGACCCCTTACCTTGATGGTACTAGTACGTAATTGTAGTTAAGGACCCCTTACCTTGGTGGTCCCAGTACGTAATGGTAGTTAAGGACCCCTTACCTTGGTGGTACCAGCACGTAACGGTAGTTAAGGACCCCTTACCTTGGTGGCACCAGAACGTAATGGTAGTTAAGGACCCCTTACCTTGGTGGTACCAGTACGTAATGGTAGTTAAGGACCCCTTACCTTGATGGTACTAGTACGTAATTGTAGTTAAGGACCCCTTACCTTGGTGGTACCAGTACGTAATGGTAGCTAAGGACCCCTTACCTTGATGGAACTAGTACGTAATTGTAGTTAAGGACACCTTACCTTGGTGGTCCCATTACGTAATGGTTCCACCAAGGTAAGGGGACCTTAACGACCATTACGTACTGGTAACACCAAGGTAAGGGGGCCTTAACTACCGTTACGTGCTGGTACCACCAAGGCAAGGGGTCCTTAACTACCAGTACGTAATGGTAGTTAAGGACCCCTTACCTTGGTGGTACCAGTATGTAATGGTAGTTAAGGACCCTTACCTTGGTGGTACCAGTACGTAATGGTAGTTAATGAGTCTTACATTGGTGGCACCAGTACGTAATGGTAGTTAAGAACCCCTTACCTTGGTGGTACCAGCACGTAGCGGTAGTTAAGGACCCCTTACCATGATGGTACTAGTACGTAATTGTAGTTAAGGACCCCTTACCTGGCTGGTACCAGTACGTAATGGTAGTTAATGAGTCTTACATTGGTGGCACCATTACGTAATGGTAGTTAAGGACCCCTTACCTTGGTGGTACCAGTACGTAATGGTAGTTAAACGGACTCTTTAGTTCAATAATTCTTACCCTGGAGGTACCAGTTCATAATGGTGGTCCTGGACGAAGCTTGTGTCTCCTGTCACTGTAAAACCGGCGGTGTTGGCGAGGTATTGATCAATAAGCCCCATGCGGTTATAGTAAAACCCTAAAAAGAGGTTCATTTATAAACTAAACGTCATGTTGTATATAAGCATCGAGACTTTTAAAAATGAAGTCAAAATAAACTTACAGATTAATGATTATTGTATTTCTTTCATTGTGTGTTAAATGGATTAATTTAAGATAAGAGCTCAAATCACATAAAAACGATGTTCAGAAATAATAAGGTAACACAATGACTTTTTAATTGTATCACTGAAACATCATAAATTGGACACGGTAGCGCATTCCATCATTTTATCCCGCCCCCCCCGCCAAATCACTCACATCATTTTATCCTCTCCCCACAACCCCGCCCAATCAATCACATAATTGTATCCCCTCCTCCAACCCCGCCCTATCAATCACATAGTTTCTACAACAGACTAATCAGATGCGCCAAGGAAAACATCACCGAAGAAGACGAGACAGAATACAAGAAAAGAAAGAAAACACGGAGACCCCAAGCTCTTCAATAGTAGCAGCATATGAATTTGGATATCTTCTCTGCTCGTCTTCACGATGAGGGTATGAAAGAAAGAATTCCGGTATTGCAGGTCCCAAATAAATCGCCTCATAAGATCATAACATACACACAATTGGTCTAATCGGCTATTAAAACCGACGGGGAATGGTGTTAAATCGCTCAATAATATACAATTCATTAATTTAAATTCAATTAACGATTAAAATATGCATATAAAGAATGAGATACAGAAGGTATATTTCTTACATTCTTAAACAGACGCATTAAAACAAACATGCAGTATTTTATTTTGCGGTTGACTATATAATACAATTATGGACTTCAGGAGAGGGCTACCCATTATTTACAGTCCTAGTCTGAGTAATATTCGTTGAAGCCTAGGACCGAGATGATCATTACTCAGACCCGGTCCGTAAATCATTAAATACCGGAACTGAAGTTCACAATTGTTATATTTAACAAACTCATCGCTTACGTCCTCTATTAATCACTATTAATAAAATTCTGTCATAGTCCAACATAATCCGTAGGATTCATGTATTTTCTTGGGATCAAGTGAGTAAAACATTTTTAAACTCACCACATGACGTGTTTCCTCCAATCGGAAAGATTGGTAATTTCAAAAGACAAAATTGGATTTTTAGGATGGGGTCTGTAAGAAATGTACAGGCCTGAATATAGGATATAGGAAATAGCCTTAACTATTTTTCTATTCGTACCACATGTATAAACTCGCCACATGATGTCGCTCCTCCTATCAGAGTTAAGAATTAGCAATAGACATAACATTACCATGTATATGCTGTGAATAATACGTTACTTACAGAAGGTATACATGTATAACTTACCTCCCAATAGACCATAGAAAGCGTTGTTGACTCCGCCGTCTGATGACGGTCGGCCTCCCAGAAACACGTACTTCAGCCGGTCGAAAGAGGACTGTGACCCTATCGAATGAAGTTTAAACGGTTATCAGGTAGACCTATGGCGGAATAATCCTATAAGGAAATACTAAACAAAACGGTAGTGTTTATGTTACATAATTCTTACCTTTCGATAGCACGGTATCTATGATATTGTAAAAGTGTTCATTTTAGTGGAATCTGACATTTATATATATACAATATTAGTACATAATATAGCATATGCATGTTACTGACTCTCATGACTGAAATACATGTACTGGAATAAAACGTATAACTGACAATATACCGTTAAGTGTCATCAGTCTCGTCTCTAACGCTCTCTGCACCCTTGGAATATTTTCATAATACAATTTAAGGTTCTGTACATGTTACCTTGAGGATGATAAAATTAGACTGGTTTATTCCTTTGATGTTTATCAAAAGAATCGTGCGGCAGCGCAACGGTTAAATTGAACGGCTTAAGGGTTGCTCCTCTGTAACCTTACGATGGTATCAGTCAAGCGATTGGTCAGTTTTTAATGCCTGAAACCAATTCAAAGAGCCAAATGTGTGCCTTGAATTTTGTCATGACATAATACAGGGGTGCAGAGACAGTAAGAAAGCATAACCCCTGGACATTTTGAAGATGACTTGATGCGGGCTCCTAAGTACCAGTCACAGTTTTATGAGGGAATGACACTATACCATCAATTGTCGTTACGACCCCGTCGACCTGGAGGCGGGCTCCTAATTCGTCCCTGTAAAAGTGTACCACGTGATACTTTCCATCGTTCAGCCTCTTATCGGCCAATGTCAGTGTCTTCACGCCAGATCCTGTGTCATAGTGAGCCACCACATTACCGCCTTCCTGAAATACAAATGAACCACAAATATGTACGTGTTTATCGTTGACAAAGGATTCAAAATAAATTGATTGTATTGTAGTTGCAGTGTTCTAATGTAAAATATAAATAAATTGATAAATAAACAAATAAATTACTCAATGTGCGTTCCAAATTGATAAACATATAATATCAATAAAATCAGTTTACTGAGTGCATATTTTTTTTTATAAAATACAAAAATGATATATTTAAGATATAAGAAATAAGCAAATGTCCTGAAATCTCACCATACGTATCACGATGTACTCCCTTCCCGAGGAACTCTCCAGCCTTACTAGGGTGCCGTCTGCTCGCTTTGTCATAAAGCCGAACACAAGAGAGTCCTGTGATGACGTCACATCCTGTTTTAATGTGTAGGATATCACGCCTGGCTGTTCTCGCTCCCCAAAGTAAATCCCAATTGGATCTATCGTTACAAAATATTAAAAACAAAACAATTATTTCGTTACAGTGGGCTGGATAGGGGGTTTAAAGTTACGGTGTTGCAGGGCAAATTGGCCTCTTAATGAATAAGTCCGACTTTTGTAAGACAAAACATTTTGATTTAAAATTATTTAAATTGATTTAACACAAAAAAAAAATAAAAAAATGAAGAAATATCAATCTTTCTACAAGACGGGCAGGTTAAAAATTCTTGAATTTCCTAGCAATGTTTTAAGGACTGTTAAATACAAAAATTAAATAGACCTACTACATTTTGTTTTAGATATATCCCATGTTTATATCGTACGTTTCTTAAAGCGAGGTGCCAATTTCATCTATCCTCATATTGTTAGCGTCACCATTGAAGAATAGGGAAGTTAAGGTGAGTTACTCTTGACTTACGCAGGCCGCAGTGTGGTCCGGAATACCCCGTTTCCTCACAGTCACATTGGTAACGGTTAACTCCGACTCTACATGTGCCGCCATGCTGACAGGGGTCCACTGGGGGACAAAACCCAGTGATGTCTGCCGATAAACAGATAAACACACTTACGTCAGTTTTCATTAAAAATAATGGCATAGAAGAAATAAATTGAAGATAATTCCTAGTGACTTCAGTTTTTTGTAGTTTGAAACCTTGCTATCAATGCACAATAACCATGCACCCCTGTCATATTTATACTGTATCAGTGGCGCAACCAGAGACCTATCTGGGTGGTTTCCAAATTTCCAGGAGGGTTTCCATGTGGGGAATAATTGAGGAGGCTGGGGGACTTTCATGAAGCCCCAAAAAACCCTCTGGATCCGCCAATGTGTATAGAAGTTAAGATATCCCTCGTATTATTCTATTTCCACAAAGAGAACGGAATGTGGGACAGGCATCAGGTTCTTTATACTATATCAGATTTACTTTTGAAGTCGTTAATCCTTGAATATGCGAAAAAATGGTAGTGTAGGATAAGAAGTTACAGAAGGACTTGGTTATTGAAAAATGGCGCTCCCTGTCATTCACAAATCGGCATGCTGGAAATGCGATGCAGCGACTTTCTAATGGTGTATGAACTATATCTTTCAGGATTTCTAACATATAATTTGTTTATTGATTTCATCAAACATTTGTCTTAAAGCATAGATTGTCTAAGTCTAGGATATAAAGAAGACATCCTTTCCAGGTTTGCCTTCTTTGTATTATCCCGTCACTAAATATACGATTGAAAACACCAATTAGGTATTTATTACTAACAAATCAAATTGGTTTTCTTACCTTTGCAACTCCCCAAGATCACGGAATTATCCTTTGAGTACGTGTCAAGATTGGGTCTCCCAGAGTTGAGGTAAACGGACGCGATACACCCCATGTAACCATTGTCAGACCTCAGACTTTTCTTTACAATGGAATTGGTGATGTACATGTCCCGTGGGAGTCCTCCGAGGAACAGGGGACGGGTTGGCTCCAGTTCAGCCCGTATCGGTACTAAATGCTGAAACGAAAAAAGGAAATATTAAAAATAAGATAAAAGACCAACCACATTAATACATCGGAATACATTTCCTACTTCATACACTAAATCAAAATACGAATTATACCGTTCGAATTTTTTCATGATTAATTATCGATCAGCATGACAAAAGCGGTGAACCATCACTTATTCACCGAAGACTGTCTAATTGTTTGTCCGTCAGATCTTCGATTGAACGTGAAATTAGTTAACACGTTTAAATGCCTGAAATACATTGAATACTCTCCGTGGAAAGAAGTTAAATGATAGAACAAAAGACATACCAAACTATGACTTTTTTCGTCATGATACATCATATATCTGATGAAGAAGATAAATTGTGACGTCATAATTTTGTATGTTATTTCTTCGTCTAGTTCTTCGTTTTCTTATTTGCCCATAAAGAAAGACATGAGGTCGAAATATTAATATTGTGAATGACAATTGTTTTATCATCTTTAATGCATAAGGTAAAACACTGCGGTAGTCTAACCTCGATCTCGTCCAGTCGGACCTGGTAGAACCGTTGATTGTTTCTTGTTGTCCCCTTTACCTCAATACTATGCCACTGGTTTTCGTTCACTGATTTTAGTTGCAAACTCACAGTGTTATTGAGGCCGGTATTACACACAAAAAACGCTTTTCCTTGTACAACTTCCATGGCAATGAATTCCCCATTTCGTCCTTCGTTGAAAAGAAGCAGACCATCGGCCTGTCCTGTTCTGAATTTGAACTTGATGTGGAGAGCTGTCGAGACCGGAAGTGTGCCAAGCTCAAGGTAGGTTGCCCTTGACGACAAGGTCACGGGGTCATAGATGAGTGGGTCATACCCGTCCGTAGGTGTTGAGTTATACCAGGCGATTCCAACATTAGGAATAGCATGTAGTCTACTAATGATGTCGATGTCATCGAAGTAAACATTCTGCATGTAGCCAATAAATGGAGGTAACTGTCCATCAACGTTGATCCCTGTTCCACTTCCGGTTCCGCTGCCAAGATGGATTCCGCTGATGTCGATGTAGAAATCATCTCCTCGGAGAGTACCTGTGATTGGACATATAACAGACCAACGGTTGTCATGAATTTACCTTATCATATCTTTTACATACAAATCACATGCTGTCATTTATCTCCGTGACAGTATTGCCAGTTTTAGAGATAAACCAAAATCTTTTGTAGATTATTTCTTATCAATAGGAAGAAAAGCAGAATGATTTAAATGATCGAGAAAGTCTAGGAATGCAGTTGTTCATTAGTGAGCTATTAACAGCAATTCTGGTAATATAAAGATATTTTTACCGTAGCAAAGACAATAAACGCGAGTCATGTGGTACGCGTTTCTTATCCTAGTGTGAATTTATATCGACTAGTGCTGCCATGTGTAATGATTTAATGAAACTATAGTAAAACATCGTTTCATTTGCTACGTCACGTTCGGCCAATATATTTCACGGTTCATTTTCCTCTTTTTCTTCATAATTCCATTGTAAATTTCCTTCCATTTATCGCCAACCCTTTTATAACGCCCCCCCCCCCCCCCCCCCCCCCCCNTTTTACTGTATTAGAATACTGAAGATTAAATTATTTTCGAATGCAAAAAAATAGTACCCAGTCTGTTTCATACGTTCAAAATGGACGAGACTTGTATTAATGGATATTGAGGCTGTGACTGAAATGTGAAAACCCGAAGAATACCCAAAAAGGAATGTCGCAACAGCAGTCATGCGCCACCTACCGGATATGTGAGGTCGCTGATCGACCCAGATTTCCAGTCTTTCGTCACGTCGCTGGATGTACAGGTTGTGCCACATGTTATCGTTCAGATGGGAACCGGTAGAGTGAGTCTGTATTAATGTATATAAATATACATTATAGTAACTGCTCAAGGGAGCCAAATCTTATATAATTAAAAAAAAAACAGGGGGCGGAGACTCGCATATATATACCCCCATCCAACAAATCTCACTAATGTCTGATGATGGATGATACTTTATTTTAACAAACCTGTGACCTTTGATCCTTTAACCTTGACCGGCGTTATATTGATGAGCTTCACAATGGACGATTTAAAAAAAAATCCAAAACATCACGGGAAAGTGTTCTTCAAAGTTGAAACGATTTGCCGCCGTGTCGGTTCGTTTTTTAAGGCGATGAAATATTATGGAAAACATGACACTATTTGTGGTAAATATTGATAACGTTTCACAAAGTCACTGTTGCATTTGATGTATGGTTCACTTGAAGGACATTGGATTCGCGAGAGTAACTCTTTAACCGAGTTCATATGAAACCTTCTTCGTAAGATGATTATTGATTTTTTTTTACATAAGTGATTTTTTTTTTAAATATTCCATTTCTTTGTGTGATTTGATGTTTATGTTTCTGCAAATAAATGTGCTTTTTTGCTTTGTTGTCACAACCTTATTTCTCATAACATTACTTTGCTTTGACCTCGATTTACATGGCGGGTGACAGCTATGAAGCGGGAGACGCTTATCCTTCTGGAACACCTGGTTCTATTAGCACTGTACGTTTTCAAGCATGCCAATGTAAATATTCGCTTTGTTTATATTTTGCCCTATTAACATCGATTTCGATTAATTTCACCTTTTTACGCTTCAGTATTCTCGTTTCTTTTTTTTAACCATGACTTTGTATTTTATGCTTTAATAAAGTATTGACCAATTTAGTGATCAATTAATTGTATAACGTGACTAAAATGATTGTTGACTTACGTCTGTGACGCCGTCTTTGTATACCGTGACTTTAACACTTCCGTCGACTAGCTCTCCTTTGATGTAATCTTCCGTACTGTTAGAGTAAGTCTGGAACAGTATTGCCCTCGGGAACATTGTCTTAAATCGCACTGCAATGTCGTTAATGTACGACTTCTGTGGGTCCTGTTTACGGTAAACTGCAGCACTGCTTCCGGTAAAGCCACCGACAACCGCAACTGCAAAGTGTGAATAGAAACCACACAGACTATAATACCTTACGAACAGAACATGATCAGACGCTATGGCAATGGGACAAACAAATCCCTGAGAGGCAGGTAGTCATGAAATGCTACGTCATCCATTGCTGTCTAATATTATATACTTGAAAATATCTCGCTATTCTATTGGATGGACTCCCTACACGTGATCAATATTCAAAAACTCATGTAGATTTCCGGTGAGTATCAATTTCTAAGTACAGTTTTTGTGTGAATCTTCATATGCTTTCAGACTTAAGACAACAGTTATCTGACTAATAAACATTTTTCTTAAGTTTTTAAGTTTTTCTCACATAAAATGATGTTGTTTTGGTCAGCATGATTGTATTTCTTGACTAAGATATACGATTTGAAACCTACAAAAAAAACGTCAGGAAAACTTACATTCAAACCATTTGATAATAAAACAATTTTTTACTACTTTATTTTAGAGAACATAATAAAACATTTATTGACTTTTGTAATGTTGAATATAATTTGATATGAACCTGACAAACTAATATTCAATAACTGACCGAGGCGATTCCAGCCTCAGTCATTATAAAAGTTTTTATATCACATTTCACATCATATTCACCATCACTAAAGGCAACGATTGTTTCATACATGTTTTTCCTGTTGTTTGGCCCTAAATAACTCAAATTGTCGACGGGCCGTAAAATAGTACAAAACAAACAAACAAATCAAACATGTTTTCCAGCAAATCTACTTCTATACTTTGACTTTTGGAATGATATACATCCTAAGATAAGGTTTACTCCTCACAGTATTATACAATAAAGGTCAATGGATGTCAGCTCCCTACTGGATCATCAACAGCTGTTCCTTCTTCAACAAATATGGATACACACGTTTTACTTTGGTTTAATACCCCGACGTTGTGATGACTTACGTTCGGAACACGTTTGGCCGGTATATCCGGTGGCAGTACAATCACATTCGAACACGTCAAGACTGCTGTAACATGTTCCACGCTTACATGGGTTTCTACTGCACGGGTCACTTGACACACATCCGGGACTTATACTTGGGTCGTCAGTAGGAAGTGTTTTTATTCCCGGCAAGTCGGTAGCTATAATGGATAACAAATAATGATGCAGATTATACACATTTACAAGTCACGTGACAGTCACATGACTGTAAAAATCACAAACAGTGTATATGAATAATGATTTATTCATCATATTTGCTTTTACTTAAATATAATCACTTCGATATGATATCAAAGTCAATACGATATGATGAAACGTTTTCTTACCATTATTTTACACCATAAACGTATCATGTTTCATAAAATATTCATTTCATGAAAATGTTTATCAATGTTACATTTTCTAATTATGTCTTGATAATTACATTTTTAGTCATTTTACTCATAAACCTAAAAATATTGTTTTCTCCAACCTCCTTCATGAATCAACTAATTAAATAGACTCAGTATTTAATTTATTATCAGGGAATTACTTTTAATATAACACCGCGGTTATTTCCCCTTACCTGTGGCTGTTATGATAAGTTGCATCAAGCAGCCGTTGAAACCTTCGCCAGACCAGATGTAAGGGGGATAACTCGGTAAGCCACTGATAAACTGACCGCCATTAAAGTTCCTCTGGTTCTGTGTGACCGGATCAAGGCGCTCATGAACGATATTCCTGCCTACCGAAGCCGTAAGGACGTTGTTGACAACAGTCAGTCTGACCAAATTGGTTTGACCATTGCTGACTGTGCCGGTAGATATCTGGCGTCGCCGAATATCACCCTGTCCAAAGTTGAACAGCAAATACACCTTGCCGTCAAACAACTCTACTCCAAGGAAGATTTGAGAGCCGAGTCGCTCAGCGAACCAGATAAGACCTCGCCTGTCAAAGGTACGGAAAGCGAACTGTACCATTCCGTCAGTGGTGAGGTCAATGTAGTTTCCTATCTTCCATGCGGACGAACGAAATGTCGCTTGGTCAAGCAGCGTGACTGTCTGGCCGGGTGGCGTAGGGGTGGTCGGAACGCTGGGGCCTAAGGTCACATCCGGGTTGTTATATACTGTCACACGACCGTGTTTGGCACCAAGAGTTTCAGTTTCAGATATCAGGTTCATCAAAGTGTTAGAAGCACCCTTCCTGTACTCGACCTATACGAATTATAAAGTTTGAACTTCACGAACGCTGTTAAGCCGTCAAGGGGACTGAAGTTCCTTTTCTGACAGCCACATCAACAATTTTTAATTTTAATTTTGGTATCATTTATATCGTTGAAATCAGTGAAATTGTTTTTTCAATACCATTTATTAATATATCTATAGTATAGAGGATGTTTAGCATAGACAGTGAGCTTCCGAATTCATTCATAATGCATACATAAATTACAGAGAACAACAGAGTTGGAAGCATCTATGAATAAGATAAGGACAACTATTGGAAAAACGTACCTATGACAGGGCATATGAGATGATTGGGAACTTCAGAGTAAATGTAGTATGCATTATAATATCGACAAGTCTGAAACATTGAGTGAACTGCTTTCACTAAGTATTGACAATGAATGGAAACTGAAAACTGTTAAAAACTGATATTTACCATTTTGACAATATTTCATTCTAATAGAAAATAAGATTTAATTTTCAAAAACATTATATAATCAATAAATATAAAAAGATCGTAAATATTGTTAAATGAATAGAACACTTATCGTTAAGGGAGGGTCAATGGTATTCAACGTTACAATCAAGATCGTAATAATAAAGATGACGTCACCAGTCACCACGTGGGCAATGGCACCCAGAGCTGATATGAACACGACCTACCCCGGTCAGCTGTCCGCCGAAGTCGGTGGTCACCTGACCTCGGGTGTATAAGGACGTTTCTGGCGATCCGCCCACATACACATCGCCCGTGGAAGCCAGCTGCAGTGTGCTCTGGTATTCCGTCTCTTTTGTCAGTTTATTGTCGATGTAGAATTTAAGCTGAAAAAAAAGAAAACAGATGTTACATATATCTACTTCTGATATCAAAATTACAAATTAATAATACAATCTTTCTGGGGCCACCGTCTATCTATGCCCTTAGATGTTGTGGGGTTGTTTTTGTTTTTTGCTTGTTTTTTTTTGTTTCGGATGTTAACTACTCGCAGTATCTAAGGATCCCTGGAAACAGGCACCTAGGTAGCAGACAAAAACCGGTTTTGTTTTATTTTGTTTAACGTTCTATTAACAGCTAAGGTCATTTAAGGATGTGCCTCCATGTGTGTTGTGCATGTGTGTTTGCATGCCGGAAACAGGGTATTTTGGTGAATTTGCCTCCTTGTGACAGCACGGATCTGATGCCGTCTTTATAGTGCTATCTCACTGAAATACCAAGATATCAAAAACAATCTAACAAGCTTCAATCTATCCCCCTCAATCGACATGTTTAGTTTATTTCAGAAAAAAACCCTAGACAGTTGTTTTTATCTATTTTCAATGTGAATTGTTTTTCTTTTATAACTACTAACAAAGACTAAGGCAAATTTTCCTCAGATTATCATTTTCATCCGCTATTGTTGTAAATGTTATTTATTTTACTAATCATCAACAGAGAATTTTTTAGCTGTGATTTTAGATAGATTATATTGTGCTTTTCTTGGACGCCTAAAAGTGAGTCATTAAATGATACAAGAATTGCAAATATTGAAAAACTAAAAACAAAACACCGTTATACTGTAACTATTTTATACACAGAATTAGATATGGACGTACTAATATCACATATACATATCTATTAATATTTCGAAACATCTTGTTAAAAACATGATTATTTGACTAAATGCATCATAAGGGTAACTAGCATGGACACAGCTGGCTTCAAAGCTACAACCTCGGTATATCACATTTGTTAAAGCAATATTTCATCTATTTTTTCAAATGTACTTTATAAAAAAAGCAAAGCAGTTTGAATTCCGTTGCGTTTGACTTGACTTATATTCGTTCAAAATGATACTGGTTTATGCATGCCCATTCAACTTTGATAAATTCTAATTCGAATAGAAGTACAATACTTTCACTACTTAATGGTTATGTGTAAAATAAAACATAAAATCTAATGATTAAAATCGTCCATATACCATTTTTTCGGCGCAAAGATATGTATCGATGTTAAATTCAGGTAATGTAATGACCTCAATGAAGAAACCGGGGAAGTGTCCTCTATACTTACATGTCGACCGACTCGCACCAGCTTGAAGTCATGCCACGCGCTGTCTCCAAGGTTATGCTGTGAGGGTATTTTTAGCATCTGTGGAGATCCTGTATCGCTGTCTATACCGAATACAAGATGGCCACCCTGGATTAAACAAAGAGGGGTCACTTACTGAAGTATTTATCGTAATCATTACATTTCCTTCTTTGTGTCCTTCTGTTCTACCTATTTTGATTTTCAACAAATGAAATCTAACGTTATCAAAACTGAGATAGCGTTATAAGGTTTCAGGATATTCAAAAATAGCGGTTGGTCATTAATTTGAGGTTACAACTCATTAAATTACCAACAATCAAATCATAATGATTAGTTAAGTCATTTTATAAATTAGAGTTGTGAAGTTCAACACATGGCCAAAAACTAGATGTTGCACCCTTCATGCATAGAAATAGGTAAATCAGCGATAGCTGTACCGATTTTGAAAACAATTTCTGCATTTGTATATTCTTTGAAAGACATTTCGTCTCATTAGCCATCAAATATTTACCCGTAGTCTGTGGATATCACTATATGACCTAAGGTTTAGCAAAGACATAAAACACTTCACAAACAAACAACCCTGTTCCACACGTTTTACAGTGTATGTATAACAGTTTCAGTTGTTTTACCCTGAGTGCAAGATACAGCGTCTGTCCGGCTCGTCTCTCCATCCAGATGAGGCCGTCCTGGCGTTGGGTTCGGAAGCGGACGGCGAACGTTTCATTGTTTGGTGTCTGTTGGATGATATCCGGGTACTGCCTGGCTAGATTACTGAGGCGATATAACACGTATCCACCTATCCCCGGGAACTGCACGGTATAACGTATCACTGCCTCAGGCGTCGGCCTCGGCTGTCCCGCTGGAAATACATAACACTCAATTTATACGGGAGGAATGTGATTTATTTTTTGCCTTTATATTTTTTGTTCGTTTTGATAGTTATGATTAAATATATATTTATTTATATTTATTTCGATGACAAAAGTTAAAAGAACCGCTACATAAGTTATTTGTTCTGGCCAAGAAGAGTTCTACATCAGAGCAAGTTTTGTTTATACAGAGAAGATCCTCTATTATATGTATACAGTGAAGATACAGCAACCTACTAAAATTCTGGCCTAGAGTTATCGACCTTGGCATGGTATCTATCTTTCATTTAGCTGCGGGAACCGAAGCTTCTATGTCCGATTTTTTTTTATTATTGTTATCGGACCATAGAAAAAAAACGGACATAGAAGCTTCGGTTCCCGCAGCTATCTTTCATTTTGATACTCTGCATTTACGATTTATAATTACACGTAACTACTTTGGGAAATTGAAGGATCAGTAGTGAATAGTTTCTGAAATTGACTCATAAAATTTCTATCTTTCCCTGTTTGTTTATATTTGTTTCCAAATCCTCCTATTTCATACATTGTAATACAATAAAGTACATTGCAAGTGGTATTGTAAATGGACCAGTTCTTTGAAAATCATTTAATAAATATTTCATCATAGTGTTAAAATAGCAATAAAGTAGTTTAACTTGATTGTACTCTTTTCCTTATGTGAGAACAAAATTAAATGAATAAAGAAAGAAAGAAACAGACAAATGAATAAATAGATTTTACGTATTACGCATTATCATATTTGTTCAAGACTGTATACTAACTCAATCCTGACGTACGACTACATGTTCCTGTGAGAATGGCTGGATTGCTGGTGTGTCTTCTTAGATCAGGTGTTTGACTATTGACGTAGACTGACGAAAGACAGCCAACAAATCCGATCTTTGAATGGATTGCCGTCCCGATGGCGCTACTTCCCTTTATCATACTGACCGGCACGCCCCCTAGGTACATCTGAGTGACATTAAACGCGGGAGTATTAAATGTGCTCATGTTATTGATTACATTATCGACACGGATGGAATACTTTGATTGTCCAACAGCTCGTTCCTGTTCCCTGACCTCGATGGTGTGCCACTGGGAGTTGTCCACGAGCTGTGCAATTCGCCGGGAATACTTCCTGTTATTTCCCAGAAACCCAGCCAACACGTGACCTAGGACGATCTCGATATAAAGGAGCATGCCCGTGCTATCCTCACAAACCATTACAACACCGGTGGATCTGTCCGTCCTTAACTTAAGCACGACGTGAAACCTCTGCGCCGAAACCGGAAGTGCTATCCTAAGGTATGCGTCTTGCGATAAAACGGTGATTGGATTGAAGACCGGAAAATTCAGAATGCTTGATGACGTCACATTTGTGAACCAGTCGATGGTAACGTCTGATTGACTCCTAAGAACGTCGAATACGTACACGCCGCCGATGTTGACGCTCTGCATGTAGCCACTGTACGGTAGGAATCCTGGGACGCTTTGAATCCGCCGGTAATTTCCGATGTTAACTTTGTCGATCGTGAATGACGGGTAGTCACTGTCTAGATAGCCTGTAACAGAAATGCATTGTGTCAGTTTTACACCTGTCCAGGTAAGCTGAGAGTAACATTGTGCCAGTATTATACCAGTCCATGTAAGCTGAAAGTAACAGAAATACAATATGTCGGTTTTACACCTGTCCATGTAAACTGATAGTAACAGAAATGCATTGTGTCAGTTTTTCACCTGTCCAGGTAAGCTGAGAGTAAAAGAAATGCATTATGTCAGTTTTACACCTGTCCAGGTAAGCTGAGAGTAACATTGTGCCAGTATTATACCTGTCCATGTAAGCTGAAAGTAACAGAAATACATTATGTCGGTTTTACACCTGTCCATGTAAACTGATAGTAACAGAAATGCATTGTGTCAGTTTTACACCTGTCCAGGTAAGCTGAGAGTAAAAGAAATGCATTATGTCAGTTTTACACCTGTCCAGGTAAGCTGATATTAACAGAAATACATTGTGTCAGTTTTAAACCTGTCCAGGTCAGCTGATAGTAACAGAAATACATTGTGTCCGTTTTTCACCTGTCCAGGTAAGCTGAGAGTAAAATAAATACATTATGTCAGTTTTACACCTGTCCAGGTAAGCTGATATTAACAGAAATCCATTGTGTCAGTTTTACAACTGTCCGGGTAAGATGAAAGTAACAGAAATACATTGTGTCAGTTTTAAACCTGTCCAGGTCAGCTGATAGTAACAGAAATACATTGTGTCAGTTTTACACCTGTCCAGGTGAACTGATAGTTACAGAAATACATTGTGTCAGTTTTACACCTGTTCAGCTCAACTGATAGTAACAGAAATACATTGTGTCAGTTTTACACCTGTCCAGGTCAGCTGATAGTAACAGAAATACATTGTGTCAGTTTTACAACTGTCCGGGTAAGATGATAGTAACAGAAATACATTGTGTCCGTTTTTCACCTGTCCAAGTAAGCTGAGAGCAATAGAAATACATTGAGTCAGTTTTACACCTGTCCAGAGGTAAGCTGAGAGTAACAGAAATACATAGTGTCAGTTTTACACCTGTCCAGGTGAACTGATAGTTACAGAAATACATTGTGTCAGTTTTACACCTGTCCAGGTCAGCTGATAGTAACAGAAACGCAGTGTGTCAGTTTTACATTTGTCCAGATGAATGGTCAGTAACACAAACACGGCATGTCAGTGATAACAGAAAGTCAGTTTTCAAATGTGTTCCGGTAACAGAATTTCAGTTAATTGAAAAATGTACGAATCATTAAGTCGATTGATAAATCAACCAATTGATTTTCCGATCAATCAATAAGCTAATTAATCAACAAATCAATAAATAACAATTAACATTTCAACTGTTATACTTTATATAGCTTATAACAATTATGAAACAAGTTCTTAAAAATATCTTTATTACTCTTGTTGGCCTTGTTCGTCCGACTAGGGAATCGAACCCCGTACTTGTTGGCGACCACTCAGACTATCAACCAACCACTTAATTGATTACCTTTAATCTGTTATTGATTTCAATGTCCTTTGACATAAGCTCATTTTCGTTTTGCCATGAATATATTTTATACGTCTGTAGATAATCAAACTCTTCTAAGAAATCAATCAATCTATATAAAGCAATCTTACCTGTCACGTGACGCTGATTGTCAACCCACAATTCAATCATCCTGCCACGCCGTCGTAGGAACATTGTATGCCACTTCAAGTCGTTTAGAGCAGACCCCGTGTAGAACTCCTGATATTTGTAAAAAGGTCAATATATCTTAACTTTTTTAGTTTTGCATATTCTGTACAATTAAGTGAGATAATTATCTTCCGAGGATAGTTTACCACAAATTAACGTTTATCACATAATGAACTTTATTTTATGCTTGAACATTTCTCGCAATCACATATGCCGGATCTTATACACGTGACCAGTCCTCAAAAACTATCGATTTCTAGAAATAGCCTGTATGGAAATTCTCCTCAACTAGTCTCGTTCAACCAGACGCTTGATTGTGTAGCTTGCGCAGACAACAAGACTCTTGATGAACGAGACTACCAATCAACCTGTCGTAGCGCATGCGCAGTTAGACCGGACTGCGATCTGTCAGACGACAACAAAAGGAAGATGCGGTTAACACGAAAAAGCCACTGAACACGCAGTGCGTGTCCTCCATGCTTATCTTTAGAGAAAATAGCTTTGGCGATGTCTTCGAAAGCTATGATTCCGAACTATTGGGATTCAACCCTGGCTAAATTTTACACGATGAACCTTGATTTTTATCTTAATTTTATTGTTGAAGCATATAATAAAACAGGTATGGGGTTTTGTGCTGGTAAATATGATGTAATTTGAACCTGAAACGTGACATTGACCTCGGCTTCTTCTCGTTGAATATCACTTTTCAGGTTCATATCACATCATATTTACCAGCACAAAAGTCCATTATTGTAAAGTGGTATCCAGTGAATATATCCATTTCTCCCACACCTGACAGATTTATCTCCCGTTTTGCCGGTGCTAGATTTATCAGTCTCCGCCCTAGGGTTGAGACGGGGGGATTCCCCTATTCATAACAATGGCATGACGTCACTTCAACAATTCAATGACGTCACGGCAACAATCCATGAACAAATTGCCTGTATGTGTTTTGGGTCCATGTTTACCTTTATTTCACATTAAAATACTGCTAGATATGGGAGAAAAATAATCAATTGCTACTGGTTGTGTAAGATAGAGGAATCTCAACCCGAGGACTAAGATTTTTTGTCCAGAACGAGGCTTGCCGAATTCTGGACAAAAAAAATTAGTCCGAGGGTTGAGATTTCTCTATCTTACACAACCAGTAGCGATAGATTCTATTAGTCATATTTGTATGCGTATTAACCCATGTTATATGACCTATCAGCCCTGTGATTGGTTGTAAGTTTCAACTGTTTCAGTTGTGACGTCACACCTAGGACAAGTACATGACGGCATAGACTTACGCATTGGAGTCAAAATGGCGGCTTTTTACATTTCAAGGTTGGATGAAAATTGTCGTTTTACACGAATAAATACCACAAATCTTGATTATGTGATAAAAACGATATTACATTCGTTTTCATTTCATATGAAATTGATGAAACTCGTCACATTTTTGTTTTAATTTTAGATCGCCAGAGGCTCGCTTAATTGAAACATTCTTAGACTCGTTTCATAAATCTCATTTGAAATGGAAACTCATAAAAGATCCTATATATCTCAAAAATCTTTTTTAAGACATTTATGCTGGGAATATTTTACGCAATTAAGTTATTCGATTAACGATTGCGAAAATAAATATAAAAGAAAATGAGTGTTAAATTTTGAAAATGTTTTTTAAAGACATAATTTAGCTGTGGCGTTCATTAATGTATCGTGTATATTTCTGGTCCAATATGTCATCATTAAGGTTTTTAATGCTGATTATGTGTACAAGAGAACACACAATCTAAATGAGATAAGAAAATTAAGTAATAAGTATACTATAAGATAGGAAAGATGACGTAAATGAAATATGATTTGCATATGATAGGACAAATGGCACTGTCGGGATTTTTTTTATAATTTTGTAAATAAGGAAGACAAACCTTAGTTTTACCGGCTGCAAATACAGTAATCTTCAGACTGCCCTCTTTGATCTCCCCCCGGATGTACTCGGTTCTCTTATTAGCCTCGGTTTGAAACAAGAACGTATTTGGCATCATGGTGTTGAACCTCAAACTGAAGTCGTTGATACCGGACACATACGGTGAATTGTAACTATACGTCACATAGGTGTCACCACGAAATCGACCAATGGGAGCCACTGTAACATATCAAAACCACGAAATTGACCAATGAAAGTCATTGTAATATATCAAAAAACGAAATCGACCAATTGGAGCCACTGTAATATATAAAAACACAACAAAATCGACCAATGGCAGCTACTGTAAAATAATGAAACATCAAGGAATCGACCAATCGAAGCGACTGCAAGACGTGCAAAATTCAGCTAATCGCTACATTACTACATTGTTTTTGCTTTTTTTTACACCAGATCCTATATTTTACATGGTTCGTCTCTTTTTACGTGTCAAAACAGAAACAAGCTCAAGTGATTTCTGTTGGAGGATTTAAAACAAATCCCATAACAGTTTTCGAAGTAACGTATAATTTGACATTGGGTCGACCTCTAACGGAGACCTGACTTACCATTACCACAGGTAATTCCCTGGTAGCCGGATCCCTCACAGTCACAGACAAACCTATCCATGCCCTCCCGACAAGTCCCGTGGGAACAGGAGCTAACGGTACAGTGAGACGACAGCTGACATGTTGTACTGAGGCCGGGTTGGTCACTGACGGGTACTGATTCTCGTATACTGGTGGCTGTAATTCAACGCGGAGTATTTAAAAAACAACAACATTCGTATTTTCATAAAGAACTGTACGCTAGAAACTAATATTGAATAAAACAAATATGCTGTGTTACGGAAAAGAATTCGTTTTCTTAGATGAACGTAAGACACGCACGTGACAATGCACCGACAAAATTTTGTAATAGATGCAGTATGCCAAAAATTAATTAACACTGCACCATAAAGCTGTTTCGTCCTGATAGGACGCCTTGGTGGTGCTTGGGCATAATGGTGTTAAGTACTGTTGAAATAGAAGGAGAGATGCGCAAAACCCTCGTTAAGTACACGAGTTTCTAAAATTGGAGGAGCACTAGTTAGTTTCAAAAAAAAAAATGTGGTTATTATGAATCGTGCCACCACTCTAAAGAGATAAGTCTGGTTATCAATATGACGTCACATCTCAGGGGCTCAGAATTAAGGAACAAAACTATTGGTATACGTTTTTACTTGAAAAATTATATTTAATCAGATAAATCATCATTGTAAATTTCAAGTGAAATAGACATTTCCAAAACTCTACAAATTTCGTACCCTTGTGTCATTGTGACGTCATCTTTCTAATTATACTTACTATTTGCATCAATCTTTAAGTTGCTGAAACAGCCGTTGTAACCACGTTTAGACCAGAGGAACCCTGGGAAGTCCCGCTGGGGCGGGAGACCGGCAATATAAAGCCCTCTATTAAACAATAACTGGCTCTGTTCTGACGACAGAAACTGCACAGTTTTGTCCTGTTGGTCCAAATGTACAACGACACTGCCTGGCCGGAAATCGAATCTGACGTCATGCCAGTTGCCATTGCCTAAATTAGTCCCAGGGATTTCCACTCTTTTCACACTAACGTCTAAGTTGTAGACAAAGTATAGTCGGCCATCCACTAATTCTAGTGAAATAAATATTAAAAACTGACGGCTCATCAATCGTTCGCTGAAAAGAATAATGGCGTCCGAGTCGAAGGTTCGGAAGCGAAATCCAAAACTTCCACCTCTACGGAGGTCTAGCCATCCGGGAATGTGCACCGAAGTGGATCTGAGAGCGATGACGTCGATGATGTACACCGGATCTGATGACGTTGTCGAATGTGTGCCTGTGAGGTTCTGACCATACTTCAATACTGTGATATCGCCATGTTTGTCTCCTCCTGTGTTGATGTAGTGAAAAAGGCTGACTTTTATGAGTTTCGTAGATACGGTTTTCACATACACAGCCTAACACAAACAAATAAAAAAAGAGAATTTAGGTAACAGTATAATATATGATTGATGCTTGAAAAATAAAGATATGTATGTATCGTATGCAGGTAATCGAGTTACTGTATATCTGGAAAATTTCGCCCTACGCCATTAAAACATATATTCTCTCAGTTTTAATGTCTCCCTACGACAGTAAAATTCATAAACTCCCAGTGGTTATTTCGCCCTACACTTGTAGAATCTATAAACTCTCAGTGTTAATTTTGCCCTACACTAGTAGAATCTATAATCTCCCAGTGTTAATTTCGCCCTACACTAGTAGAATCTATAAACTCCCAGTGTTAATTTCGCCCTACACTAGTAGAATCTATACAATCCCAGTGTTAATTTTGCCCTACACTAGTAGAATCTATAATCTCCCAGTGTTAATTTCGCCCTACACTAGTAGAATCTATAAACTCCCAGTGTTAATTTCGCCCTACACTAGTAGAATCTATACACTCCCAGTGTTAATTTCGCCCTACACTTGTAGAATCTATAAACTCCCAGTGTTAATTTCGCCCTACACTAGTAGCATCTATAAACTCCCAGTGTTAATTTCGCCCTACACTTGTAGAATCTATAAACTCCCAGTGTTAATTTCGCCCTACACTAGTAGAATCTATAAACTCCCAGTGTTAATTTCGCCCTACACTAGTAGAATCTATAAACTCCCAGTGTTAATTTCGCCCTACACTTGTAGAATCTATAAACTCCCAGTGTTAATTTCGCCCTACACTTGTAGAATCTATAAACTCCCAGTGGTAATTTCGCCCTACACTTGTAGAATCTATAAACTCCCAGTGTTAATTTCGCCCTACACTAGTAGAATCTATAAACTCCCAGTGTTAATTTCGCCCTACACTTGTAGAATCTATAAACTCCCAGTGGTAATTTCGCCCTACACTTGTAGAATCTATAAACTCCCAGTGTTAAAATCGCCCTACACTAGTAGAATCTATATATTCCCAGTGTTAATTTCGCCCTACACTAGTAGAATCTATAAATTCCCAGTGGTAATTTCGCCCTACACTTGTAGAATCTATATACTCCCAGTGTTAATTTCGCCCTACACTTGTAGAACCTATAATCTCCCAGTGTTAATTTCGCCCTACACTAGTAGAATCTATAAACTCTCAGTGTTAATTTCGCCCTACACTTGTAGAATCTATACACTCCCAGTGTTAATTTCGCCCTACACTAGTAGAATCTATAAACTCTCAGTGTTAATTTCGCCCTACACTTGTAGAATCTATATATTCCCAGTGTTAATTTCGCCCTACACTAGTAGAATCTATAACCTCTCAGTGTTAATTTCGCCCTACACTTGTAGAATCTATACACTCCCAGTGTTAATTTCGCCCTACACTAGTAGAATCTATATATTCCCAGTGTTAATTTCGCCCTACACTAGTAGAATCTATAACCTCTCAGTGTTAATTTCGCCCTACACTTGTAGAATCTATATACTCCCAGTGTTAATTTCGCCCTACACTTGTAGAATCTATAAACTCCCAGTGTTAATTTCGCCCTACACTTGTAGAATCTATATATTCCCAGTGTTAATTTCGCCCTGCACTAGTAGAATCTATAAACACCCAGTGTTAATTTCACCCTACACTAGTAGAATCTATAAACTCCCAGTGTTAATTTCGCCCTACACTAGTAGAATCTATAAACTCCCAGTGGTAATTTCGCCCTACACTTGTAGAATCTATAAACTCCCAGTGTTAATTTCGCCCTAGTCCAGGAAAATCTATATTCCTCCATTGCTAATGTTGCCCTTTGCATTTGATTACTGTGCCTATTATATTGTTTAATAATGTTCGACGCAATGAGGATTTCGCCCTCATTATGGATTGCGCAAAAGCATAAAGTAAAATTTCGCTGAATATTTATGTTAATGTTTCTCTTTACAACATCGACGATAATATGCAATATAATTCCGTCGAAGCATTCCTATTGATGCCCAGCTTACGAAGATGCAACAACGAAGACAGCTATGTCCTGCTACTCCGTATCGGCTTATAACAACGTTTTGGTTGGTACATATAGGTTTTAATAAAGGGCTGTTCAATGTAAATGTGAATACATGTTATATAATTATATCTCAGTTATAAAGCTACTACTTTTGAGTATATTTAGCCAACGCTTCATAGTATTCTATTAAATCTGTAGCGACATTGCGGACAACTTTTCATGGATATATATATTCTCGTTTTCCAAATAAAAAATAAAATAAAAATATCTATGTTGAAGATTACACACTATTCGCTACATCAGATTTTTTATTCTTAAACTAGTTCGCCATGCCGGAACACATTTCAGCTACAAGGTTCGACCAGCAGAGCCCACCCCCTTTGGGACATATTCCTGCCAATTCCTACTTACTAGGTACAAAGCACCGTTAAACGAGGAAGTGATCCTCCCACCAGTAAGTGACGTCATGTTTGGAGCCCCGCCCAGGTAGATGTTGCTGGATGTGATGAACTGGATTTCCTTGTGCATGTTGACCTCTGTTATCATCCGCTCGTCCACGAAGAACCGAAGCTACAAGTAAAAATAACTCGGATATCGTAAGTGGTACCAGATACACAGGATGTACATTCATAATGCTTAACTAGACTGAATTTAAGATAAAATATTGTAATATTACGGTTTAACATGTTTTTAATTAAATCTTGAAAACAAATCAACGTAATTGATGTCATATTTGCTACCCGATGTTTTTGGGTATTTATTAATTTTGTGGACAAACAAACTCTAACATTTTAACCCTGGTATGCATTGGTATAATACGACGAACTTAAAGATCTACTTTCGTCTAGATCACTCATTTACAAATTGATTTACAATCTTTGCTGTAATAAAACCCGCCTTCTTTAAGATCCAAATTGTTGTCATTGTAACGAATTGACTCTACGGTCGATACATCTCGCACAGAGGGATTCTGCTACGTCATTTAAAGTGGTAATACATCATGTTTTGTGTTTTAAAACAATCAACACAGTTATGAAAGAATATTTCTGCTAAAAGTGGTGTTAATAAACTTACATTTCGATTACTTCGTTTAATTTCGAAGGAATGCCATGTGAAATCCGTGACGTCAGTACTAGTATGGAGCCTCGATATGGATGCAGGACGTACGTGATCATCGAAAACGAAGACGAGATCGCCATCCTTGAAAGAAATGTTAGAATGAAAATATTATAGTATGAGGCCTCGATATGGATGCGGGATGCACGTAATCATCGAAAACGAAGACGAGATTGCAATCCTTGAACTTTTGGTTTGGTTTGGTTTGGTTAGGTATTGCTTAACGTCCTATCAACAGCTATGATCATTTCAGGACGGCCTCCCCTAGGCCTGTGTGCAAGATGCATGCGTGTAGTGTATGCGTGTGTGTTTTGGGTAATATTCAGTAATGTTAATTTTCTGTTGTAAATATGTTTATGTGCCGAGTAGAAATATTGTACTGATGTAAGAACAGAAAATAAAGAAAATATTCAAAGTGAATATCTCAGTAAATATCAACAGATTTTTAACACGTAAAAAAGACTACTGGAAGGATGACCTTTCGGGGAACATAGAGAGACCGCTATTAGCAGGGTGTATAAGGAGCGGTTTACGGAACAAAATTGGTGAAACCAATACCGGTTTCCGCAGTAGAAAGGGTCCGGATTAAACAGTGTTGAAATAATGTAATTGAGGAAAGGATATACCAGGACAAAATTGCAATAACACTATAGACAGAATTTCGGGTTAAACAGGAATCGATATGGAAAGTTATATCGTTTATTTAAGGAATAGCCCTTTATTCTGGTCAGGTGACGAGATTATAATTTTAGTTGAGTACGTTGTAAAATTCACCAGTACTCAGCTGTAGTTTTCGCCTCATAACCTGACCAAAATAGAAAAACTTTCCTTACATTTACAGTTATTTCACATATTAGTATGATCAACGTTTAGAAATTTCATTATCAAAACGGTTCACGTGAGATCGGTTAAATAAAAGTAACAGCCTGAAATTTGCATAAGCGTTGATTAACTCCACCCATATGTACTGCTGATGACGTCCACAATTGTGTCTCGTTGGGTGACTGTAGACCATACATACTAAAGAATTACCAATGAGATAACTGTTATCGCCTTTGGAAATGACTTGGTTACTTCCTTCAGAAGACGTGATGAATTTTATGAATGAATTGACGATACATACGTGATATCCGCACAAGAAATGAATGATAAAACATTGGATTCGTTTTCGAGGGCAACTTCTAATACTAAAATCAAAGATTAATTCTACTTACTACTAGACCGATATACAGTTGTTCTGTGCTGCGGTCGTCAATCCAGATCAGGCCATCTCGTTCACTGGTGATGAATTTGAAAGAGAAGTTCTCAATTTGAGCCTCAAGAAGCATTGACTGATGTTTTTGACCCCATGCAGTTAGGTTGTAAAAGATATACGCTCCGTTGCCCATGAACCGAACCATATTATTGTCTTCACTTGTACCACTGTTCTGTGAGAGGGCCAGGTCTGAAACAAAGTAATATATAGAGAAACAGTTCGTCTGTGAGAGGGCCAGGTCTGAAACAAAGTAATATATAGAGAAACAATTCGTCTGTGAGAGGGTCAGGTCTGAAACAAAGTAAAATATAGAGAAACAATTCGTCTGTGAGAGGATCAGGTCTGAAATACAGTAATATATAGAGAAACAGTTCGTCTGTGAGAGGGTCAGGTCTGAAACAAAGTAAAATATAGAGAAACAGTTCGTCTGTGAGAGGGTCAGGTCTGAAACAAAGTAAAATATAGAGAAACAATTCGTCTGTGAGAGGGTCAGGTCTGAAACAAAGTAAAATATAGAGAAACAATTCGTCTGTGAGAGGGTCAGGTCTGAAACAAAGTAAAATATAGAGAAACAATTCGTCTGTGAGAGGGTCAGGTCTGAAACAAAGTAAAATATAGAGAAACAATTCGTCTGTGAGAGGGTCAGGTCTGAAACAAAGTAAAATATAGAGAAACAATTCGTCTGTGAGAGGGTCAGGTCTGAAACAAAGTAAAATATAGAGAAACAATTCGTCTGTGAGAGGGTCAGGTCTGAAACAAAGTAAAATATAGAGAAACAATTCGTCTGTGAGAGGGTCAGGTCTGAAACAAAGTAAAATATAGAGAAACAATTCGTCTGTGAGAGGGTCAGGTCTGAAACAAAGTAAAATATAGAGAAACAATTCGTCTGTGAGAGGGTCAGGTCTGAAATACAGTAATATATAGAGATTCAGTTCGTCTGTGAGAGGGTCAGGTCTGAAACAAAGTAAAATATAGAGAAACAGTTCGTCTGTGAGAGGATCAGGTCTGAAATACAGTAATATATAGAGATTCAGTTCGTCTGTGAGAGGATCAGGTCTGAAACACAGTTATATATTGAGAAACAGTTCGTCTGTGAGAGGGTCGGGTCAGAAACACAATAGTATACAGAGAAACAGTTCGTCTGTGAGAGGGCCAGGTCTAAAACAATGTAATATATAGAGAAACAGTTTGTCTGTGAGAGGATCAGTTCTGAAACACAGTAATATATGAAGAAACAGTTCGTCTGTGAGAGCGTCAGGTTTGAAACAAAGTAAAATATGGAGAAAACGTTCGTCTGTGAGAGGGCCAGGTCTGAAACACAGTTATATATAGAGAAACAATTCGTCTGTGAGAGGGTCGGGTCTGAAACAAAGGAATACATATAGAAACAATTCGTCTGAAAATATGTTTAAACTAAGGTAAAGTAACTGACTGCTACCAATACAATTGTGACCCGGTGTATTACCAATAAACATATTTGGAACAAATCAAATAGGAAATTTCGATAGTAACTTCAGCAAAAGTAGTTTCGTTGGATCTTTATCAAAAAAAAAAAATCTATCAACCGCTTCAGACCTGGCGTCCGTCCGGGTTTGTTAAATATCATAGGATCGTATCCGGCATGACTATGACTTTGATGAATCATTTATGAAAATAAAACCATACGTTACGGGACTTTTATGAGAAATAATAAAGATGAAATAAAGAAAATATAATCAACAATAGAGTTCAGAGTGTAAAATTAAGCGAGAGTACAACGGGATTCGAACCTGAACTTCAGATGGCTGTAGACGACTTAGCTACATGATAAACGGAACTACGCTGGCCCAACCGTGCTACAGTTATATCAAAACGAAAGTTAAGGGGAGGTAACTGTATATAGGGAAAAACACAGTGTAGTGGGACAGGGATCCTTTAAACATGCAAAATGGTGAGAAAGTTTTATCTATAGACAAGATTTGATCATAATGTGAAGGGATAACTTTGATTTTTTGAAAGGTGGGGCAACTTTGATTTGGGTATCTGACGGTTTTTTTTACCAGATTGAAAATTGTCAGAAATATGTAAATGTGATTCGGCTTACAATAAAATCGATATGTCAGACTTTGCCAGTTAATTTCTCTATTTTAATCTTTTTCTCTCTTTTACGCTCAGAGAGAGAGAGAGAGAGAGAGAGAGTGAGAAGGGGGGTGGGCGAGGGGGG